AGCTTAAGACCTTGTCACAGAGTTTCGGCATCAGTTCAGCAGAGAACTTAAGTTCTTTGTAAGTCCGATTCCTCTGCGAAAATTCCTCTTATGTTCATTTCAAGTACTTCTTAGGACCTTTACAATGAATCTAATGTTTGGTACCTAAATATAAATAAATATTACCGAAATATTACTGTTCTGTACTTGCTTTATTTGTGCTTATTTCAACTTGATCTTTTGTTTGCTCTCAATAACAGTATTCACCTCATCGAGTCACTTACCTTCAAAGTCATCATACTCGGACTTCGAAGGCTACAGTCAATGCTTAACGATCCAAGAAACTCATTAATGCTCAGCATCAGTTTTACCGGTCAACCAAACTCCTTACTATCATTGCGTTTTCATTGCGTAACAATTTACATTGGGTTTTGGCCCATGGCTGTCAAAGACCATCAACATTCACTCAAAGATTGGCGAAGGCAAATGCATCTCAAAAGTGGTCATTGTTAGTATAAAGATTCATCCATTTTTGACTATAAACACATAAAACAATTGATTGATATATTTCGGATATTTTGTCATTCTCTAGAGCTTTTCTTGTTGTGATCATTGGACTGGTTTTAATATCATCATTAGTACATCATTTTGGGTTGTATTTCACATTCAATTGCTTCTGGTTGAAGTATTTCGCTATTCAAGAAACTCATACAAATCTGATCAATGGCCATAAAAAAGCACGAATCTTCATACTCGATCAAATGCGTATTTTGATTTCTTTCATATTCTTGCTTATTCATTACTTTGGTTTGATTCCCATGTCAAAGTTAATCTACATGGCAGGTAAATTTGCGCTTTTTTACTGAAATTTTCTTTTGAAGTGTTACAGATTCTCAAATTTTCTTAATGTTTACAGAAAGTTTGGATACAATAACTTACTATGCAAGTGGATGGGGCTTCCAACCAGTTAATAGTGATTGGATTTACAGTGGCATGATTTATGTCGGGTAAATTTTGTCTAATTTTCAACTAATATCCAGATTAATAATAACTTTTTTGCAACAGAGGATCAGCCATTGGGTTACAGCTATGGGCAACAATAAAACCCGAAACATCATTTTCAACTTACGTTAAATTGTTAATCAAACGATTAGTTTTGTGAGTAACCTCCGTACTCAACTGGAATGCAAATATCAAAAAAAATCGACGATCTCCTACTTTTTATGATTATTTAGGTATTGGCCAGTTTTGATGGTTACAGTGGCAATGAAAATTGTGCTACCATTATTTGTTTTTGGTTTATTCACTGCACACTGAATCGTGATCAAATGTTTGTAGTAATAACTTTTGGACTCTATTGCTGCATATTAACAATTACCAGAACGTTTATGGATTTTTCACTCAAATAACATTGTTAACAGATTAGCCGGTTACTCTAAAGAACATTTATCGCAAGCATAACACAATATTTCGGTTCTAAACTAATTTTTGTTTGGAGACATAACATATGCTTTAACCCGTAAAATAATATGCACACTTGGATTGCCTTTTCTGTTCGTACCGCTTACCAAGGGTAAATACGACGATAAAAAGCTTGATGCTAATGATAATAGCATCGATGGACCAAAGGAAAATAACCAAATAACTCATTGTATTTCAAGAAGAAACAATCACCCCTCAAGTATCAGACATAACATATGCTTTAACCCGTAAAATAATATGCACACTTGGATTGCCTTTTCTGTTCGTACCGCTTACCAAGGGTAAATACGACGATAAAAAGCTTGATGCTAATGATAATAGCATCGATGGACCAAAGGAAAATCTCAGATGGTTGGTAAAGATCAACCCTTTCCCTTGTAAAAAACTTCTAGATGAAAACTATCACACCGGAGTTCAGTTTATCAAATACATCCACATTTGTCACGCCATTCCCATTGTGATACATTATATTTTTACGCAGGAATGTCTCTTGCTTCAAATCATGACTCCGTAAAGAAATTTACATAGTCAAATTATTAGACGAGCCATTTTGTATTCTTTAAGGCTAATTAAAATGTCAAATTAATATTTATTTTAATAATTCCAAGTTTCTTCCCAGATTCGTAAGCTTCACTGGATCCATGGTATCCTTAAGTATCTGATCTCAGATCCGATATTTTTGTTGAAAAATGTAAACATTTGGTTTCAAGTTCATCACATTTATTATAAAGTTGGTTTTAATTATTGTTATTATTGATTAATCATGTTTGTTTCTCGTTTTTTGTTTAAAACTGTAACTAGTCCACTAACGTGCAAATTATGTCACCATGGTTTACGTCTATCAGTGCCTAGTGCGTATCTTCCCTCGCTTGTCCAAATGTCAACCAGAAATGTCGACCGTTCATCCAATTTTAAAAAACTTACCATAGTTTCGAAGACCAGACAGTCTCGTAATAGTAAAGGAGATAGAAATAGGCCGTAAGTTTTCAATTTATTATCGAATCTATAGCCTTTAAATTCTGGTTAAAGATTATAATTCCCAATCTCATCGTTTATGTTTTTACTTGTTTCTTTTCTTTTAGGCTGCTCGCCGCAGGTTTCATTTCTGGCTTATTATCATTGTTAGGGTGGGAAGATTTGTTATCAAAAGAAGATCCATTTATTTTAACAATTAAACGTGGAATCCTTTGTATGCAACGAGAGGAGTTCGATAAAGCTGAGATTATCCTACACGCTGCTCTTTCTAATGCTGTTGATATGGTAATTATTCATTGAATGAATGTTTCTGTGAACATATTATAAATCTTTATTCCACCAATTTATTGATTAGGGCAACAGCAAAGCAATCGCATACATCTATTCGCTTATGGGCAATGTCGCTTTTCTTAAAGGCGATTATGAAAAATCTGAGAAGATTTACAAAGATCTGATCAAACGATTATTGGAATTCGGTATGTAATATATTTTTTTTATTTTCTTGATGAAAATTACTAATATTTATGATTTCAATACTCTCTGTCTCTCTCTAGGTATAGAAGAAGATCATGAAGCAATAGTAGAAATTTCACTAAAATTAGCAACTATATATAGTAAATTAGGAAAATTTAGCAAAGCAGATGTTGGTTTCAGTCATTGTTTAAGTATTCAAAAGAAACGAGCAAACCAAATTGAAAATGATAAAAAGACTAAGAATGAATTATCAGATTCAGATATAAATAGCCTGGCTTTGTATGGAATGGCTCTTGATTTTTACGGCAAACACTTGCTTCGTAAACAAGAATATGATGGAGCATTAAAATACACTCTTGACGCTTTAGCAGTCTGCGAAAAAGTCAATGGAAAGAACGCTCATCAAACAATGATTCTGCTTAGTGATGTTGGTACGCTGCTCAATTTAACGAACAATTTTGACGAAGCTGATGAATATTTTAAGAAAGCAATAAAAGTTGGAACTATCATCGAGTCAGATCACCTAAAAACATTGTACTACAATGTCGGAATGAACGATTTAATGCGACGTAACTGGCCGTCAGCACAGCAAAACTGTGACGCATCTTATAGATTTGCCAAAAAAGATGATGACATTTATATCATGGGTATGGCTGAAGATTGTTTGAAAAAAATAAGAGCACAAGTTGTTCAATAAAGTAATTTAATTATTTATTATTGAAAAGCGTTTATGAAAAAAAGATATCGGGCGTTGTGAAGTATATTTTGTGCCGAGGCAATTAATTTGAGCTAACAGAGCTCGAAAAAAATGTAGTATGATAAAAAAATTAATTTGAGTCATTTTTTTCAGAATCTTGATTGATTTTTTCATGTTTAAATAGGTCCATTAATTTGTTGAATCTTTCAACAACATTATCACAAGGACGATTGAGTTTACAAGAGATTTCTTTAAACAATTCAATCAGGTTTGCTTCATCGTCAATTGACACTTTTGCTTTACAAAATTCCAATAGTAATTTATCTTCAGCCAAAGTCCATGGTTTTTCATTATTACATGATTCTGTTTCAACTGAACTTTGTGTACTGTTAGATTGATCAACACTAACACTGGGTTCAACTGTTTGCGGACTTGCTGACTCTGGTTGATTCACAACAGCTCTAGATTCACGAAGTCCTAGGTATTGCACTTCAGCAGGCTGAATCTTTTTAGGACCCTGAAGATAGATTTTTCCTCCAATAAACTTCAAACTACAAGACGCACAATGACGAAGAGGAGCACTTGTAGCATTTTCAGAGCCATTACTGGAACTGCAATTATTGTTATTGTTAACATTATTGTGACAAATCTTACAAGGGCACGCATTTGTACCATATTTACTTTCTTCGCCATTTAAATCAACCATTACATTCTCAAAAGAGTCATCGCCTTCATCGTCAGCTGCATTCAAATCTTGAGCATTGGTGATTGCAATGTTGTCAAAATCTTCATCATTAGCAAATAGATAATCTTTTGGTTTTTCATCCAAAAATAGACTAGAAAATTCATTTATAAGATATGGATGACCACTAATCGCTTTGCTAACGGCAGCTTTTAATCTTTGTTTGTTAACTGGTGTCTCAGATAATTTCAATTGAACCAAGGTTTTGTGCAGTCTTGGGATACAATTAGGTTCCACTGCTGAGTAAACCTCCAATTTGCGAATAAAACTCAAATATCGTCTCCAATGAAGATATTGGTACATTTTTCCACACTCTTGAGCTTCAGATGCATTTAGAAGAAGAACAAAATCCTCCATCACTTGTTGTGCATTCACTTTACGCAATAATTTTTCAGTTTTTTGATGTAGATCTTTGATGGAACCATTAGTTGATCTTTGTTTACCAAACTCGTTTAAGTAGTTTAAAAATTGGACATAGTCCTCGTCACTTTTCAAGGCTTCCCGGACCTTGTTTATAAAACATTGGACCATTATTTGTTCTTTCTGTTCACGATTGTAATCATTAAGCAACCAATCTTCCGAAAGAAGAAGTACCGTGGATTCTTTGTGCTTAGTGACAAGTGACTTTTTGGCTTCTTTTTTGCTGACAGAACTAGATTCATGTGACTTATTCCGACCTTTATTGCTGGTAATTGTTGAACTGGCAACCATCAAAGCGGCAAGATCACTTTCATCATCATCTTCGTTCTGAACTGCATTATCAGAATTGAATACTGCGAGATCTTCACCCATTGGAATATCGTTATCTTGACAATTAGAAGATGATTTTTCTTCAATATTTTCAGATTGAGCAACTTCTTCCACTATATCAGAGACTTCAATTTCCAATTTATCTTCACTATTAACCTCACCAGACGTTTGAAGAGGCAAGCTTTGGTTTACTTCACAGGTGGTTGAGATAGGAGGAGACAACGAAGGGGTTTTCTCTACATTGATCACAGTGATTTCAGGGGAGGTTAAGCTTGGCATAGGTTTGGGTTTGATGTAAGGTAATTTACTCAGATAACGATATCGCCGAAGAACAATACTTGTTTCTTTGTTGGGTGATGATAAAGTCGAAGGATATTTAAGTGAATAAGTACCTTTGAGAGGAGAAAGTTTGAGACGAGGTAGAACTTTTGTTTTGGTATTAGCTATAAAATTGGGATCCAAATGTTTTGCTAACCATTCAGGTAAATCACTTAGGTTTGAGTAGTCTAATTTAGGCTGTGGCATTTTTCTAGGTATCGGCAAAAGTTTACCATACTTAATATAAAAAGTAATGGGATTACTTTCATAAGTTTATGGCTGTTGCAAGATACGACATAAGGTGTAACTTGTTTTTGTTTGACTGTCCCTGACTCATTTCATTACTTAAACAATGACTCTTTCCAATTGATTGATTGTTGTAATATATTTCAATAAATCCTCTACTAATATTTTATTTGGCTTCATTTTGCAGGTTCACACGATTCCGCTTCCTATTCACTAAGACATGGGCGAGGTTTGGCACCAGACAGATCATGGGATGGAGCATTCACTGCAATCCATTTGTTTCCCAAGTTGACTGGACGTTTTGTGATCAAAAAATGGTTCAAAACACAAAGGGTTGATGTTCTTGATCAACTCAACCATGGTGTACGATATTTTGACCTTCGTGTTGCCTCTGATCCTTGTGATGGAGATCTCTACTTTGTTCATGGGCTGTATGGTGATAAGATAATCTCATTACTCAGACCTATGCGAGATTTTTTGGATGAAAACCAACAAGAAATTGTTTTTCTTGATTTTCAACATTTCCACCAAGTATCCCATGCTCAACATCATATTCTGATCAATGGATTGATCCAATTGTTTGGCAGTAAAATTTGCCCATATGTTAAATATCGACGTATTGAGGAACTGACTTTAGCCGAAATGTGGTCTAAAAAATATCAGATTATTATCTTTTACCGTGATGATGATTTAACTGGAAGATATAATGAACTTTGGCCTGGTTCTATGTTACTCAATCCTTGGGGAAACACAGCTTGTCAGTCAAAATTGATTCCTTTCTTGTGGTCAGGCCTATCATCCCGTCCCATGGATAAATTTTATGTCCATCAGGCCATTTTATCTCCATCCAAAGCTTTAGTGATTCGCAATATTTGCAACAATCTTTATTCACGCCTTTCGAAAAATGGAAATCAGAAAATTGAAGAATGGCTTTTGGAAGTTAAAAAGACTAATTTCAAACCCAATATAATTATGGTTGATTTTGTTGATTACAGTGATTATATTTTGGCAAAAAGGACTATTTTAATCAATTATGACTATCTTGATATGCGATGATAAAATGTTTACCATAATATTTGCTTGTTATTTTTTATATCATCTACTTAGGATATCATTAATTTCCAACAATATCAATTATTATTGTTAATTTTATTGCTGTACAAATGCATGTGTATATTTAGAAATACTATCATATTAAACGATCTTTTTTTCTCGCTGATTAATAAAATTGTTTCTGAAATTTAATTTCAAGCTGCAATTCTGAAAAACAATGAATAATGGATTTAATGGAATGCATTAAGCTATGCTGTGTAAAATTACTTCATGTGTGGTAGACTAATCATCTTAAACATTGATTCACGACCGTAAATCCGCTTTTGAAATCTTTGCAATAACTTGATAGTTGACAATTTAGACAAAACCAATTTATTAATTATGCTTAAAAAGATCAATACAACTAAACCGTTTCAGCTTTCACTTTTTTTGAATTATTTTCGATGGTCTTTTCTTTAGATTTACCATCAGCATTGCCATTAGTTTTCGCGTCATTTTCGTCGTTAACCTTTCTCTTCAGTTTAGTCTTACCAGATGGATAAACAATCAACTTAGCACCTTCAACAAATGGATGTTCATCGTCAATTGGTTTTGAATCAAGTCTAGGAGTGCGAGGAATCAATTTCTTTAGAGAGCTTATTGGCTTTGTTAAATCAGCGTAGAATGGAACGGCCAACGAGGCTTTTGATTTTATCTTTAATATCTGTACACAGTTTCCATAAATTTTGTAGACATTTCGCAAAATAAACTCTAAATTGTCGGCCAAGTGTTGCTCTGGTTGCTTGAACACGCCAAATTGAATACTGGTGTCAACTCCATGACCTGTCATGTAAAGGGTAGCAGTACGTAAAGCTCTTTCAAATGAGTGTTTTAAAGAAGATCCTTTATGCTTGAGAACCACACCAGTTGGGAATTTTTTCTTCTCAACCCAAAATTTTTGTCCTAAGAAACTGGGTAACAATTTGAATCTATTCTTGATCAATCTGGTATCAGCAAGAAAAACATCATATGATGTAGCCAAGCGTCGCTTCATTTGAGGTAATCGATATTCAGTCAACAATTCTCGCATAGGCAAGATGAACAGTCGATGTTTTACTAAATCTTCATCAACTCCAGCAGTCAACAGCTTTTGTGTGTAAAAATCTCGAGTCAAACGTAAATCTAGCTCTCTGTCCTTTAAAGGCTGGTGGCTTTTATCAATAACAATCAAACAAATTGTCGCATCAACCAGATCATGAAATGGATGAGGCACAGGTCGAAAATTATGAATATATGTAGTCATATTTGTCGGTGGAACTTTTAAAGTAATTTGTAAATGCATTTTATCATCCATCGAGAATCCAGCGAGCTGCAAGAATTTATCCTCTTGTTCTTCAACGGAAAGCAAATTAATTTTCTTCTTTTTAACATTAGTTTCATTTAAACTATTTTCCTTAACCTTTTCAACTGATTTAGCGGCATAATTTTTGAAGACTCGAACCACTTCATCTATCTTTGTGCGCTCCACATAAGTTTCCATCATTTGATACCAAAGATGATAAACAAAAACAATCGAGAATTGTAGTATAAATTAATGGCAACTAAAATAATTAACAGAATCAAATAATCACAAAAATACAAGAAAACAAAAAACACGTTTCAAAAATATTTAAACCAAATCAATAAAACCACGTTTGTTGGGATTCACAACAAAACAAACGCACCGCCCTCTATGGCTATTTTCTCGAGTACTTTCAGCGGGCTTTTCAATAGCTGACTCAATGAAATCTTTTCTTAACTAATCATGAAAATCTGCTTTGAGCAATAAATTCATTTTTCCTGATATAAAACAGGTAATTTTATTCCAGAATCGAGAAGTAAATAGTCAGTTAGTAATTAGTTCAAGATCATCGAAATGAGACTTCCATTTGCCTCAATGGGAAAAACAAGTTCTCAATATTAACAGCGATAAATGTCAATGGCAAGAGCTTAGTTATTTATATTTGGTCCAAGCAATTGCCTGAAGCATATTATTAATTGTCCTTGAAGCTTGAATTGAATTGGATTTTTTCTTCTTCGAATGAAAATTTACCCAAACTGAGTAAACCGAAAAATACACTCAGAAAATAAAATAACCAGGTTTAATGTTGAAATGAAATCATTGGTAACCCATTGAATTTTTACGTGAAACAAGTTGAACTAGGAATAGTCAACATGGAAAAGCCAGTTTATTTGGAAATCGTAAAACTTGATTTAAAGGTTGATCATCTTCATCCTTGCTCTCTCTGGCTCACTTAATTACAACATTGTAACTAAAGGTTTTCAATTTCAATATTTAGTGCATTGAGCTTAATGAATCAAGAGTTATTGTGTGTTTATCTGTGTGAGTTTCAACCTTTCACTGTTTGACACCTAATAGTTTCAACAAATCATGAACATTAGTCTGAAACTTAGTTCTTCAATTGTTTCGATTCTCTTTATTTCTGTTTGTTTAGTGAATTTGAGTAAAAGTGACCAGTCTTATGTAGATGACCAAATATCTTCAACCAAACCTTTCCATGCTAACCAAGGTACTTTGCTTAAGATTGGTTTCGCTGGAGCATTTTGGGACTACATCAAAACAAACCAACATAAATCAATAAATTTATCGTCTCAATGTGAACATAAACTTAATTTATACAGTGAATTGATAGATCAAGATGACCAGGAAGCTTTAAAAAGTAAGTTTGAATATCATCTTAATTTGAGTTGAAATCAAATTTAGGCACCAAACATTAGGTCCATTGTAAAGGTTCCTAAAAAGTACTCGGAATAAAGAAATTTTTTAGTGGAATTGAACGTTCAATGGATAAACTGGACTTAAGATCTTTGCTGAACTGATGCCGAAACTTTCTTAAAGGTCTTTGAGCTATTATTAATAATTTTATTTCAGTCTCAATACATTATTATGTTAAAACATTGGGTTTTGTTACTAAAAAGACACAAATAGCAACAATTGTTGCTTTTATGCACAAATTGAAACAAGTTGACAAAATGCTGAAAGTAAAATGGGCAAAAACGGGTAATAATTAACTTATTGTAAATTTAAACTCTATTAGTTTGTAGGGAATTAAAAACTGAATCCATTAGTACAGCTCAAAAGCTTCTCAGATCTATATTTTTCGAGAACATCGAGTTCAAAGTTGAAACTTCGATCGCTTTTTGTACAATAATGGAAGCCGATTTCTTGATGAAACGTCATTGTGCAGATGTTATTTTTGATGGTGAACCTGAAAATGAGTCTATTTCGAGAAATAAAATATCCGATTTTCTGTAAAACAGATAAGATCGATTTTCACTTAAACCGAACTTTTTTTGTGACCGTGTAATTTAGAGATCTGAAACTTATGATTCATCCATAAAAATTAGTTGGTCACATCATGGACTGAACGATTTTTTCAATTCGTTAATAGTTCTCTCGATTTTGGTCATTGACCGGAAAACTTTGAACCTCGATATTTCGAGAATGATGACATCTACAATCATCATTCTATGATCAAACAATACATATCAATATGGACTAAAACATATTCAACTATTGTATTGTTGAAGATCCGTCGCAAAAAGTTATAGCATTGCATTGTATGTGTTATCAAATTATAAATTATTCGTAAAGTTAAATGGTTACTCAAACACAAATCTTGTTTGTTGAATGGATATTCGTTATTGAAAAATTTGAGTTATACCGCATTATTTTGCATGATAAAATGTATTGTTTGATCATAGAATGATGATTGTAGATGTCATCATTCTCGAAATATCGAGGTTCAAAGTTTTCCGGTCAATGACCAAAATCGAGAGAACTATTAACGAATTGAAAAAATCGTTCAGTCCATGATGTGACCAACTAATTTTTATGGATGAATCATAAGTTTCAGATCTCTAAATTACACGGTCACAAAAAAAGTTCGGTTTAAGTGAAAATCGATCTTATCTGTTTTACAGAAAATCGGATATTTTATTTCTCGAAATAGACTCATTTTCAGGTTCACCATCAAAAATAACATCTGCACAATGACGTTTCATCAAGAAATCGGCTTCCATTATTGTACAAAAAGCGATCGAAGTTTCAACTTTGAACTCGATTTTCTCGAAGAATATAGATCGGAGAAGTTTTTGAACCGTACTAATGGATTCAGTTTTTAATTTCCTACAAACCTACAGAGTACAAATTTACAAGAAGTTAATTATTACCCGTTTTTGCCCATTTTACTTACAGCATTTTGTCAACTTGTTTCAATTTGTGCATAAAAGCAACAATTGTTGCTATTTGTGTCTTTTTAGTAACAATACCCAATGTTTTAACATAATAATGTATCGAGACTGAAATAAAATTATTAATAATAGCTCAAAGACCTTTAAGAAAGTTTCGGCATTAGTCCAGTAAAGATCTCAAGTTCTTCATAAGTCTAATTCCTCTGCGAAAATTCCCTTTATGTTCATTTCAAGTACTTCTTAGGACCTTTTATAATACAATGGATCTAGTGTTTGGTACCTAAATCTAATTTCAACTCGGATTATATCAAACTTAAATTGGGATTTAATTAAATTAGTTGCAATATGATCTTTAATAAAGGCTTTCTTTGGCATTTGTTTCAATAGCCATTCTTTGACTATCGATGTTACAAATCATGCTATTCCGAAATATTACTGTTCTGTACTTGAATTATTTTTGTTTTATCTCTAACTTGATCTATTGTTTGCTCTCAATAACAGTATTAACCTCATCGAGTCACTTACCTTCAAAGTTTTTTGAATCATCATACTCGGATTTCGAAGGCTACAGTCAATGCTTAACGATTCAAGAAACTAATTATTGCTCAGCATCAGTTTTACCAGTCAATCAAACTCTTTATCCACATTGGTTTTCATTGCGTTACAATGCTACAATTCACATCGGTTTTTGTCTTCCGACCTCTTGCTCACAGGACGATGTTGATAACCTTATATCTTCAGGTAAACACAAATGAACCTTTGTATTAATTATATAAACCGACTAATCATTTGCAAATTGTTTTTAATAGTTATGAAACCAATTGGTTGGGAAAAGGTTTACTTCCATGGCTGTCAAAGACCATCAACATTCACTCAAAGATTGGCGAAGGCAAATGCATCTCAAAAGTGGTCATTGTTAGTATAAAGATTCGCTTATTTTTGACTATAAACACATAAAACAATTGATTGATAAATTTCGGATATTTTGTCATTCTCTAGAGCTTTTCTTGTTGTGATCATTGGACTGGTTTTAATATCATCATTAGTACATCATTTTGGGTTATATTTTACATTCAATTGCTTCTGGTTGAAGTATTTTGCTATTCAAGAAACTCATACAAATCTGATCAATGGCCATAAAAAAGGGAGAATCTTCATAATTGATCAAATGCGTATTTTGATTTCTTTCATATTCTTGCTTATTCATTACTTTGGTTTGATTCCCATGTCAAAGTTAATCTACATGGCAGGTAAATTTGCGCTTTTCTCCTGAAATTCGCTTTGAAAGTGTTACAGATTCTCATATTTTCTTAATGTTTACAGAAAGTTTGGATACGATTACTTACTATGCAAGTGGATGGGGCTTTCAACCAGTTAATAGTGATTGGATTTACAGTGGCATGATTTATGTCGGGTAAATTTTGTCTAATTTTCAACAAATATCCAGATTAATAATGAATTTTTTACAACAGAGGATCAGCCATTGGGTTACAGCTATGGGCAACAATAAAACCAAATACATCATTTTCAACTTACGTTAAATTGTTAATAAAACGATTAGTTTTGTGAGTAACCTCCATATTTAACTGTAATGCAAATACAGTATCAAAAATAATCGACGATCTCCTACTTTTTATGATTATTTAGGTATTGGCCAGTTTTGATGGTTGCAGTGGCGATGAAAATTGTTTTACCATTATTCGGTTCTGGTCCTATTTATTCCCTGCATACTGAATGGCGATCAAATGTTTGTAGCAATAACTTTTGGACTCTATTGCTGCATATCAACAATTACCAGAACGTTTATGATATGGTATTTAATGCGATTCTCAGTTTCATATTCAGAATGTGATCTAATACAAATCATTATTTGTCTCTGTCTTACAGTGTTTCTGCTATTTTTGGTCAATGGCGGTTGAATTTCATCTATTCATTTTGGCGCTAGGGATTGTCTATTTGTACAAAACAAGGCCAAAAATAGGAGTGATTGTTAATATTATCACTGTTCTGATTGGTTTGGTCTCAATATTTTGGATTTTTTATTCAAATAACATTGTTTACAGATTAGCCGGTTACTCTAATGAACATTTCTCGTGAGTAATATAACCCAATATTTTGCTCTAAACAAATTTTTATTTACATCAATTTTTCTGTTTCAGGCAAGTTGAGACCTTCTTAATTCGCAGTTATACTCGCACGGAAGCCCATATATTTACCTATTCATTTAGCTTGTTAGTTACATTTTATCTGATACAAAATCCAATGATAGTCATCTCCGAGGTTAGTCTTTTAATGACACCAATTGCAACAGTATAACTTACGATTTTTCTGTCTATCTTTAAACAGAGAGCTGAGCGACTCATAACAATCATTCTGACCACACTAGTCATTTTACAATCATATTCACCAGGAATTTGGAATGTTTGGAGACTTGAAGGTAATCGTGTCTGGTACGCAATCCACGCTTTAACCTGTAAAATAATATGCACACTTGGATTTGCTTGGATTGCCTTTTCTGTGCGTACACAAGCTTATACAGTGATGGCAAATATACTATACGATGATAAAAAGCTTGATGCTAATGATAATAGCATTGATGGACCAAAGGAAAATGGTCAATCCAAGAATTTGAATGACAGAACACCATCGACCAAATACAAGATGTTTTATGCAGCATCAAGAGCAACCTTTTTCGTCCATTACATTCTTTTTCTTTGGTATTTCTCTGGAAAATCGAAGATCGTTTTTGATTATAGTGTAAGTGTATATATTCATCTTGATTTTCATGTTCAAACCAATTTTGATTAATGCCTTTCTCATTGTTTTCATTCACAGTTCCTCGCTGATTCAATATGTTTGATTATCTTTGCATACCTTGCTGGTTTAATATTTCACTATTTTGTAATAGGACCTTTTGAAAACATTGTTGGATCTTTCAAATTGAAAAAATTTGGTAAATTTGAATAAAAACGATTTATTTTGTATTTCAAGAAGAAACCATTTCCTACAAGAGTCAAACTTTTGCACACCGAAGTCCAGTTAATCAAATACATCAACATCTGTCATGCCACTTCCATCGTGATGCGTTATCATTTTTTGCGCTGGAAGATCTCTCGCTTCCCATCGTGATTTTGTAAAGAGATTTAAATTGTCAAACTATTCGATGATATTAATTTTGTAATATTTAAGGCTAATTAAAGTGTCAAATATTTATTTTAATAATTCAAACTCTCTTTCTGAATTCTTAAGCTTCACTGAATCCATCTTTTAATTATGTGATCGGATTGATCATAAACGTCGCTCGTTTTAGGATAAAATCTGTAACTAACGTGCAAATTATTATATGTCACCACGCTTAACGTCTATCAGTGCCTAATGCGTATCTTCCCTCTCTTGTTAAAATGTCAACCAGAATTGTCGACCGTTCATCTAATTTCAATAAACTTGAGTAAAGTTAATAAAGCGAATGACAAAAATTTAGTCTTCAAAATTTGCTTTATTTTTACATTAATATTGTTTTAAGTGTTACAATTTTCATTTTGTCACTTTTACTCATTTCAATGTATGTTCAATTTTTGATTCTTGAATTTTCTTTCATTTTGACGCTTAATAATTTAGTTGCTGGATTTAGTCAATGTTTATGTCGGTATTCAATTAATTTGGCCAATTTTCTCGATATTTTGATAGTTTTGACGATTTAGAACGGTTTTTAAATCGACCATAAAATCGATTTTCCTAATGCATTGAATAATTTGAGTAAGTTGAGATTTCCTTCATTCTCGAGTTAGGCGCATGGTTGATTTAAAAGAAGCAAATCTGGAACCTGGAAGGTAAAGAAACTCTCAATTGTGCTCAATTGTAATCAAAAGTGTTCTCTTCCTTTCTCGTCTTCATCATCATCATCATCATCTTTCATTCCTATGTGAGTTTGAAGGTTCTAATATGTTTCTCCAAATGTAATGAAGGGAAAGAAGAAAAGACTTGATATAACACAACAAACAAGCCAAAATTACATCCAATACCAGGATCCTGTTGTGTGCATTGTTTTGTTAGTTAATTTCAACCCAATTTTATTTTCATTATTATTTTAGTTACTTTTAATAATTACAATTTAAAAGTGAAATTAGCAAAAGAGAAATGATTATTGTTATTATTGTTCATTCAATTTACAATTCAACATAATCCAATGGTTAAATCAAATAATCAAAAGGGAGAAGGCAAAAGTGTCAACAACAACAAGACCAGTTTGCTTTGCTTTCCATTGTGATTACCATTGTTTACATTGTTTTTATTTACTGCCGATTATTTTCATCTATAATTGTTGAAAATCAACGTCATTATTTATTTGCACCATTGGAATCATCATCATCATCATCCACCCGATTCCTGCTTTAATCCTTTTTCTACAATTCTGAGCTTCTTTTCTGGTAAATTGTGTTCATTTTTTTCCCTCTATCACTCGAGCTTTCCTTTGTTTTGTATTCACTCACGTTTCATAGGTTATTAGTATCATTGTTAAATAATGGTACCAATGTTTAACCACAACATTAATCACTTTAATAATGTAATTGTGACAACTTTAACCCACCATCAATACACCAATAGTCGATGTAATAGTAATAATAATGTAATCAAGAGCATAACCAACTCGATCCTTAAGTCAGTTACTGTGTTTACTGTGAAAACCCTTTGGAATCATTTACTGGTTCCAATTGTAGTAATACTTTTATTTCAATCTTCAGCCAATGTTTTCTCCTCCGCCTTACCTCACTCTGAGATAAATTCATTTCATGCCGATGGACCTTCATCTTCATCCTCCTTTAACTCAGAGCACCATCATCACCATCACCATAACGATCCATTAATTGTGTTGACAAAAAAAGGTTATGTTCGTGGTCGATCAGTTGTTTCACCCACCGGTAAACCAGTTGATGCTTTTTTGGGTATCCGTTATGCAAAACCACCGACTGGAAAGTTTCGCTTTCGCCATCCTAAGCCCATCGATTCATGGCAAGGAATATTCAATGCAACCTCATTTTCAGGTGCATGTTACCAAGTCAATGATACCTTTTTTGGTAACTTTATGGGTGCCACCGAATGGAATCCAAATGTTCCCCTTGACGAGGATTGCCTATCAGTAAACATTTGGGTACCTCGACCTCGTCCCAAATCAGCAGCCGTTTTATTATGGATCTATGGAGGAAGCTTTTGGTCTGGAAGCTCGTCACTTGATTTTTACGATGGTTCCGTTTTGGCTGGTGAAGAGTCAATCATTTTTGTCTCCATTAACTATCGTGTTGCCTCTCTTGGGTTTATTTTTTTTGACACCTCCGATGCTCCCGGTAATGCTGGACTTTTTGACCAGTTAATGGCCATGGAATGGATCCGTGAAAATATAGCTGCCTTTGGTGGTAATCCGGCAAACATAACCATTTTCGGTGAATCAGCTGGTGCCGTTTCAGCAGCTCTTCACTTGCTTTCACCTCTATCACGCAACGTTTTCAGCCAAGCCATTTTACAATCAGGCTCAGCAACCTGTCCATGGGCCATCTCTGATCGAAAAAAAGCCTATCAACGGAGCCTTGCACTTGCCCAAGCAGTTGGCTGTGGGTCAACCTCGACTCGCTCTGTACATGCCATTATTGAATGTATGCAATCTATACCTGCCTCTGAATTGGTTGCCCAGGAAGAGACAACAACCGGTGTGGTTGAGTTTGCCTTTATACCCATTGTGGATGGATCCTTTCTCGATGAAGATCCCGAGGTTTCCCTGCGAACCAAAAATTTTAAACACACACCTATTTTGACTGGAAGCAATCGTGATGAGGGAACCTATTTTCTTGTTTACCATTCACCGCACATATTTAATTTAAGTGAAGGCATTTATATTTCGCGCAGTGAATTTCAATCCTTGATCCGGATCATTTATCCCCATCTGAGTCCTTTAGCCCAAGAAGCAGTTATCCAAGAGTATACACATTGGATTAATCCAGATGATCAAATTGAGAATCGTGAAGCAACTGATAAATTTGTTGGTGATTACCATTTTACTTGTCCAGTTAATGAAATGTCATATCGTTATGCTCTTTATGGTAATGATGTTTGGACCTACCATTTTACCCATCGATCATCAAAAAGTTTTTGGCCTTCCTGGATGGGAGTTATTCATGGTGAGGAGATCAAATTTGTTCTTGGTGAACCATTAGATCCAGTTCATGGTTATACGCCTGCAGAAGTTCAATTAAGTAAACGGATAATGAGATATTGGGCCAATTTTGCCAGAACCGGGTAATCAATCAATTCTTAGTCAACCTTTCAACATTCACTTTTTGTTGATCTAATATTTTTGCTTTCCATTAAAAAATCTTCTAGCAATCCAAATAAACAATTTCCCGATGGTGATGATACGGAATCAATCGTGTGGCCTGAGTACACTGCTCATGAGAAAGAATATCTTGTCATTTCAACCAACGATTCATCAATTGGACGAGGTCTCAGGGCAAAACAATGTGCCTTTTGGAAAAACTTTTTACCCAAACTTATCAATGCTCTTGGTAAGTAAATTTTAAATAGAAACCCATTTTCCTAAATAATTATTCATAAACATAATATGCTAAGAAGCATGATTTGTGTGTCCATTGGTTCATATTCAAGAAGAAAATGGTTTTTTATTCATGAACCTATTATAGCTTAATGAGAATTATCATTAATTACCTGAATCATGTTTCTAGCATACTGAGTTGATGTAAACTAGTAAAACGTAAGAAATGGGTTTTGTCAATTTTCTTGGTAATTATTTTTTCTTTCATAAACCTGCAAAAATGTCATAAAATATTTTTCATGTTTTACCCAAAAAAAACACATAAAAAATGAATTTAATTGTTAGACATTTCTGCACGATATCTTATAATGAAATAACATGAAATCCTTATTAGTAGTTAATATTTATTGCCTTTGCTTGTCAATATTGCAATTTTCAGGTTTTTACCTTGTTTTTTACTTTCCAATCATTATTTATTCAGAGAGGCGCAATGATTTACATATCCAAGTATAAACATTGCTCTGTTTATTTATCTAACAATTGAATTACCATGGTTTAATTTTCAATTACCAGGGAACCATTCGTGTTTTTTGGTACAAAGTGTGTACCCAAACCAATAACTCTGTAACAATAAACATTTAGTGAACCTAAATTTAGCAATTTAGTCAATTGTTTAGGAACAATTTACGATGAAAATTGGAAATGGATCAAATTAAAGTCTCTCCATTAGCTGCAAAATTTTGCTCATTTCTCCGTGAGATTCAAGTCTAACAAAAAAATCTGGTCAACTAGGGCTAATGATTGACCATTTTATAGCAAATCTCATGCAACCCAACCTTTATTACCAACATCATTACAATCATCATTATTGTTGTTTAACTTATTTTTACTTGTCTATAAATCCAAATGAAACTTTATCTCATCCAATTGAACTGAACTTTGAAGAAGAGAGAAACTTTGATTTCTCTATTACTCTTCTACTCTTACTCCAGATGATGTTATCCTTGCATCCCTTGACCATCTTACCAACAGTTAACACAAACCTATCAACTGACCAACAAAATTTTACCATCTTCTCCATCTTGTCTGGTCACACTAATGACACTTCTCATGGGATCTATTGCTATCAAATCCTATCCTGAAAAGTTCTGGTTACCTTCACTAAACCTTGTTAAAAGAAGCAAAGTGAACCCAAAAACTCTTTTACCTTGGATTAACCCAAAAGATACTTTTTTCAATCTAAAAAGTCTATTGGGTTTGCCTTTGCAAGTTTCAATTGAAAATATTGAAATAACCCAAAAAATTGTAATCAAATCGCTTACCATTATCTTGTTAATTAACTATTCATTTGAATTGTTTGATCATGCAAAAGATGAGAATCAGTTTAATTATCTTTCCACTCTCAACTGCAACTTAATGAGATTTTGTGACAAAAACTCAATCAACAATCAATTGAATTACTCCGTCATAATATGGAGTAAAATTTTTCTTCGTTATTCCATTACAAATCATGAGTGAACAAATATAATTAATGATAACCTGATAAGTACTCAATTTAATCCTTTCCCCTGAACAGAATGAGAACCTTTTTTTGACAATTAAATGAAAGGATAAACTATTTTCCTCCTTCATCCCATCATCTTGCTTTCACCATTCATCCTCTTATCCTTAATTTTACTCTTCTTGATCAGATTAGTTAAGCCTTTATAAATAGGATTTAATATTCATTGTTCATGTTAATCATTATACAATGTAATTCACTTCTCTATTCAAATTAATATCATTATTATAACATTGCAATTCTCATTGAAACTCCTCTCCCTTTCATTATCCATTTCATTACACCTAACAAATCAGTCAATCCAATGATCAGACAATTGATCCAATCCAATCAATATTCATCATTATTTGCTCCATTGATTATATTTCAATTTCAACCTTTTCTCTATCATCAACCTTTCTCCTTTTTATGATCACTTTTACCTTTACCATTTAATGATTGTATTAATGTATCTCACCATTTGCCAACCATTCACACTTGAGCCAAAAAATATTGATCCAAGACAACAATTAATGGTTAAAATACAAATCATTGTATTACAATTACAGATTACTCGAGTCGGTAAAACATTGAAATCAACCCAAAATGACATTTGAAAAGATCGTTAAAACAAAAGACAAAATTTTGTCCAAAAAAATCAATAAAATGTTGATTTTAAATTAATGATTAAAGTTTAAAGTTAAACATGAAACGTAAAAATGAAACAAAATGTTTTTCCTTGAGCAAAAATTATCTAATTGACCATTTTACTGTTACAGGTTAACCCTAAAGTTACAAGCGATCATAATGAACAACAATAACATTATCAATATCAAAATATCAGTCCAAATCTTAAGAATCAGTTACTTAAGAATAGGAATCTTTCAATGATACTTTGTTAAGCTTTGAAAGCTCAACCCTGAACACAAAAAAACAGAGTAAAGAAACAACAAAAACTCTGAAAAAGAAGAAGAAAAAATTGTCTTTTTGTCCTCCTCTTCATCCTCATCTTTTCCCTCTTGATCATCATTTTGCTTCTCTGTCTTTTCATATTATTTATCTTTCATTTCCTTACCATTCGTGCTTGGAATCCCTGAGAGACAAGATTCGACTTGGAATCGATTTTACCTCAGGACTTTATCTTCTCTTACCTTATTTATCTTTTCTCCTCTTCTTCTTGTTCATCTCATTCTTTTATCATTTTTCTCTCCATCTCTGGATGAATGTCACACAAGATGAATAGATAGATAAATGAGGAAAGATGTACACACATAAATACAGCAATTCTGAGACTTGTTTTGTGTTTTGTTTTGCTATTTATTTTTGCCAACTTCAACCGTCATCATGATGATGATCAAAGCAGTATCAGCATCATTTATAATTGTAACTTTATTTTAACCCATAATAAAGTGTCTTGTAAACTCTTTATATTAATACTGTTCTTGGTTTCACTTGATAGTCGCTTCTATTGTTGTGTTGTTATTTTTTGAAGGCTTTAAGATTGATTGCAATTATTTAGATTGTCAATTATTCAACAGTAACTCTGTTTAGTTTAATTCATGAGTTGAATGTAAAAATGCTGGGAATAAGATTTCTGGTGAAAATGAAAACAAAATCAACTTTTTTTTCTTCTTCTTTTCATGTATTTTTTTGTTCCTTTTCATTTTATCTCATCAAATTACATCTAATTCATTTTGACATTTCACATTATTGTTAGTTTTTATATTTCTCTGTTTTTCCTGGTTAATCAACTCAACCATTTGTTTCCCCTTCACTTTTTAAAGCAACTTTCATTGTGCCAATCAATTTGTAGATTGGTGAAAATTTAATCAATCAATTGCTAATTCGGGTTGACATTGACATGGAAGTCTATCTTGAGATTATTCAATATCAAGTAATCTTGTTTCCAACAATTTTCTTGATTCTCAATTTTGTTTCATTTTCAGAGTAAACCCAAAATCTATGAGAATCAATAATTAATGAAACTGTAAAGTTGATATTGAAATTTTCTGGTTAAACCAAGTTTTGTTTTGTTTGTTTTTGCATTCATAAATTTTCAATGTAATAAAATTTGCTAATTTAATTTTGGTTAATCAGGAAATTTCAGGATAAAATCGCCTGAAAAAGCATGTTCTCTTTACTCTTGGAAAGGGAGAAAATTTTCAAATAATCAATAAAAATGTTGGGCAAAGAGTTGAAATGGAAAAGGTAAATAAGATGAAACTCTGAACTATTTGAAATGAGATTGAATAAGGAAAAGGATTTTCAGCAATCATCAAGTTTAGCCATGTTTATTCATAATGAAAATGAATCAAAGGTGCATGCTTTGTTGTTCATGTTATTACAAATCAATTTTGAATAATTTCAAGTTTGCTTAAAGGTGAACAACTGTAATAATGAGAGATTGAATCAAAAATGTTATCATTTTTTTTTCTTCTTCACAAAAATGAATATTTTCCAGCAGATTTTGACTGAGAAAAGCAACTTTTTTCAAATTTCATTTTCGCCTTTGGTTAACTCATGTGATAACAAATTAGGATTGAAGGTAAAAACGATAATAATATTAAAATAAATTCATTCAATTTATATAACCAGTTACATGTAACTGTTATAAAAATTTACTCCAACTGTTCAAGTTGAAAAATCAGTCAAGTAAATAATAAAAATAAATTGTTTCAATTGAAACATGAAATGATTTGTCAGCAACACTTGAATGATATTGCATCCAAGATTATCGTTTTTATTGTCATTAATGGTCTTAATCATTCTAAATGTTTTCACCCAATTTTCCTCAATTCAGATTCTCTGATTTATTAATTTCTCTCAAGGATTACAAATTGTAATACAACAGCAAATCTGTAAGGCCTAGTGTCTAGGAAATAATCAATACTTTTAGGTAAACCCAAAAGTGTTTCCCATTTTCTGGTTCATTTTATGTTAAATTTGAAAAAAGCTAAATCTCATCAATTCATTGAATCATTGTTTAGCTTAACAATTAATCTTTTCATTTGATTCTGTTTGGTGAATAGAAACTTCCATTGAAAGGTTGATATTTTTTTCTGTTGACTTTGAATTCTGCTGAAAAAATGTCTTCAAATGAATCTCATTTTCTGTGTAAACTTTGAGCTTGAAAATGGGCTTTTTATATTTAAAATTGATTTGAACTGAAAATTGAATGATTCAATTGTTTGATATTAATCAGTAAATCCTTCAGAAAATGTCAAATGCTTTTAGGTTCACTTATTTTGTCAACATTAGTTGACAACAAGTTGATACATTTTCAGGTGAAATGTTACAATTGATTGTCACTTTTCATTTAATTATTTGCTTTGACCGTTTCTTTATTGGATAAAATTGTGAACCCAAACTGGACATTCACTGGTTTAATTTTGGTTCAACATTTAACCATTTTACCTTCATTTGTGCTTTTGTATGCTCATAATATTAATCACTTTGCCAACCCTTTTACCTTTGCCTGTAACCAATATTTACTTTATCAATTATTGAACCCGAATCTTGAACATTTCATCTTCATTTATCTTCTCACCAGCAACTTGATTAAACTCTTTGTAAACAGAACTTACTTTTTGCCTTTCAGATTTTGTTTCAAGTTTCATCCAATCTTTAAAAAGCAGAATAAATATGTTTTAAGTTATAATTGTAAAGGCTTCATTGTTTGTATAACTGAACCATCTTCAGATTTTTACCCAAAAAATTATCATATTCTCTTCTTTACCTGTTTCATATTATCATACTAAATACAAATTTTCTTGTTCTTTTTAATTGAATTCCAGAAAACCGTCATAATTCAACTTGTACTAGTCATTCAAATCAAATTGGATCATCAAATTGGAGCCTTGCCATTTCATTGATTTCATTAATCATGTGCTTCTTACCTAGCTTAAGGTAATCATTGGTTTAACCCATTGGAAAGGAATATCAACATTTTTTTTGCAAGAATTAAAACCGATGACAAGATGACGAAAGTAAAGCAAATAACCATAAATTGGACATTTTGGACATTTTGTATCGATCAACTGAACATGAGCATAAAAGGAATGGAAAGAGAAACAAAAAGTTACACAAATCCCAATACAAGCAAAAATAATCTCAACAATAATATTAATAATCAAATCACTCACACTATAGTGCCTAGCAATTTATTAATAATATCAATATATCACAATAACTATACCACTAATCAACGGTTAAACTTTCAATAATCATGTGTAAAGAGGAGATGGAAACATGTTTCTGGATGGTTGATGAGAAATTCAATTAGGAATTGTCAATCTCTAGATGATTTTCGGAAGATGATCACACAAGATAACCAAATCAAAGGAAACATCAGTCAAGGAATGGATTACCAGTAAAGAGAAGAACCAGATTTATTGAAGCCTAATTGTTCATCAACACATAGCAGCTTGATGAAGGTTGGCTACCAACTGAGGATCGAATTTTCTGGTTTTCGAATTTGGTTTATTCTTGAAACATTGAAACATTCCTGCGACAGGAAGAAAAGTACGCCAAGAAGCAATGAAAGAAAGCAAATCAAGAAATGGGAATTGTCTCTTGATTTGATAACATTTCTCTCCTCTTAACATTACTATTTTGAAATGTTCTTATCCATCATCATTACCTTCACCATCGTGTTCTTCATCTTCATCTTGCTCTCTCTCAATCTCCACCCAAAGCACAGGGAAATAGCAAAATATCAACGATTCAATAGGCAGCGGAAAAAACAAAATAAATATATTATATACTAATATTAATACAAATAATGGGAAGCTTTCCTATCCACGCAAACATATTCATCTGATAACGAAAATAAGGTTGTGTCTCATCATTTTCATCATCAACTTCATCAACTCCATCATCTTCATGGTCTTCTTCATCCTCATAATCATCACTCTTATAATCTGGTTGGAGAAAGTAACCCACATCATGATGGTAAAATTGTGTGTAAAGGCAATTTCTTGGTAACAAAACTCGAAAAACAGGGAAATATTCATCTCGTGATCTTTTACAAATTTAGATTGGAATATTTGAAGAGCAAAAATTTACTCAATTTATTCGTGAATCCAGAACACCATTCAGAAAGGGAAAAGATCTGTAAACAAATTTTCGCCTTCCCAGTTTAATCCAATAACCAAGGAAGGTAAAAATGCTAACAACATTAGCATCGCTCATCATCTCATTCTCATACTCAATAATCATTATCACCATATCAGCATCTTCATCATTTGAATCAAGGTTGTGTCATTATATATGTATATATATGCATATATATAATTATTATTGGTCGATACGAACTACTTACAGCAAAAATGGAATCCAAATTGTTGTTATCATCTTAATTTTCTTCTACTTCATCAACTTCTTTTCAATGTTGCTAACATTATCAACATTTGTTAACTTGATCATCACAATTAACCAGATTTAAGTTAGCTTGTTAGATAAATTGAAGTCTTACATTTCCTTTTGATCAACAATGAGCAATGTTTTGGTTGCTTTACTTTACCAAAAGGTTACAGCGAATGCAAAAAGACTAAACAATTTGAAAATCTTTATTTTAAAGCACTAATTTAGCAAGTTAGCAATCAATGCAACAATTTATAAACCAAAAGAAAAGCCTAATCACAATTACCTAACCACTATTAACTAGTCAAGTCTCATGATTTGCGCCAAGTCAGTCAATTTTGTTAATTTGCTCCATTTGTTCATTTTATTAGACAGTCTTTTTGATTTGATTTAGACAATTTAAATTCAGACTTGATTCTAGATTATTATGTGGATAAATAATTAACTGAGCTTAAAGTATGTGAATATAAGTGAATTTGTTAATCTTGCAATAATTTCAATAGTAATGACCTTACACTGCAAATTCATATCATGTTTCCATTTCAATGAGGTGTTTATCAACAGCAGAAAGTAATTCATGGTTGTGACCATTTCCCTCCAAACCTAATTAAAACTTAATTAACTAAAACACAAACATAAAGAGAAAGGCACAATTAACTCACAAATTTAACAAAAAAAATAAATATCAAACTGATTTGGTGAAAAAAGCAAAATTTTAAAATGAAACCAAAAAAAGCTCGAAAGCACTCAATTCGATAAGATTATTGATGAATAATTATAACGATAATGCTATTGTCTAATGTTTTAATATTCAATATTACTGATTAATTAATATGATTATCATTCTTAATACAATAAAATATAAAAATGAATTGCAAGTTAACAGCAAATAAATGAAACAAAAACAAAAACATTTAACATGTAAAAAAACAATTTCAAGCCAAAATTGTAATCACTAAGCAAGTGAATTGATGGTTGTGTTGATATTTATTATTATTACTTCTATTATTTAAAAGCAATTAAATCGTTGATTATTAATAAATAAATTAAAACAAATAAACAAAATTGTGCAAATCTTTTTTACCAAAACACAAAACGAGAAAATTCAGACGATCATTTACAAGTTTCCGAGCAAATTCTAGCGCTTTAAAGGCTAATTGTTAACAAGAAATTTCAGATGGAAATACAAATTCGAATAAAAGTAGTCGAAAGTATTTGAATAATATTCTATTCGTTTTTGGTTACCTGAAGATATAAGGTTATCAATATCATTCTGTGAGCAAGAGGTCGTTAAAAAAATCCAATGTGAATTGTAGCATTGTAACGCAATGAAAACCTTACCAAACTTAAAACATAAAACTTAAAACCCAATATGGGTAAAATGTTTGGTTCACCGGTAAAACTAATGCTGAGCAGTAATGAGTTGCTTGAATCGTTTAACATTGACTGTAGCCTTCGAAGTCCGAGTATGATGACTTTGAAGGTAAGTGACTCGATGAGGTCAATACTGTTATTGAGAGCAAACAAAAGATCAAGTTGAAATAAGCACAAATAAGCACAAATAATTCAAGTACAGAACAGTAATATTTCGGAATGGCATAATTTGTAGCAATGTATGACTGGTGAAACTGAGGCCAAGCATGAATTAGAGATCATATTGCAACTAGTTTTATTCAAGTCTCAATTTAAGTCTGATATAATTCAAGTTGAAATATAGGTAACAAACATCGGATCCATCGTAAAGGTCCTAATAAGTGCTCGTAATGTACATAGAGGAAATTTTGCAGAGGAATTGGGCATACAAAGAACTTAAGTTCTTTGCTGAACTGATGCCGAAACTTTCTGAAAGGTCTTTGAGCTATTATTAATAATTTTATTTGAGTCTCAATACATTATTATGTTAAAACATTGGGTTTTGTTACTAAAAAGACACAAATAGCAACAATTGTTGCTTTTATGCACAAACTGACTAAATCCTGAAACAAATATAGACAAAAACGGGTAATAATTAACTTCTTGTAAATTTAAACTCTGTAGGTTTGTAGCAAATTAAAAACTGAATCCATTAGTACGGTTCAAAAGCTTCTTCGATCTATATTCTTCGAGAAAATCGATTTCGAAGTTGAAACTTTGATCGCTGTTTGTACGATAACGGAAGCAGATTTTTTGATGAAACTTGATTGTGCAGATGTTATTTTTGATGGTGAACCAGAAAATGGACTAAATTTAAGAAATAAAATATCACATTTTCTGTAAAACAGATAAGTTCGATTTTCACTTGAACCGAACTTTTTCTGTGGGCGTGTAATTTAGAGATCTGAAACTTGTGATTCATCCATAAGAATTAGTTGGTCACACCCTGGACTCAACGATTTTTTCAATTCTTAAACAGTTTTCTCGGTTTCGGCCATGGATCGGAAAACTTTGAACCTCGATATTTCGAGAATGGTGACACCCACAACCATCATTCTATGACCAAACAATACATTTTATCATGCAAAATAATGTAGTATAACTCAAATTTTTCAATAATGAATATCCTTTCAACAGACAAGATTTGTGTTTGAGTAACTATTTAACTTTACGAATAAATTTTCAATTTGATAACACATGCAATGCAATACTATAACTTTCTTTCGACGGATCTTGAACAATACAATAGTTTAATATGTTTTAGTCCATAATGAAATCGAATTCTAGGTCATAGAATGATGATTTTAGGTGTCAACGTTCTCGAAATATCGAGGTTCAAAGTTTTCCGGTCAATGACCAAAATCGAGAGAACTATTGATAAATTGAAAAAATCGTTCAGTCCATGGTGTGACCAACTAATTTTTATGGATGAATCATAAGTTTCAGATCTGTAAATTACACGGTAACTGAAAAAGTTCGGTTTAAGTGAAAATCGAACTTATCTGTTTTGCAGAAAATGTGATATTTTATTTCTTAAATTTAGTCCATTTTCTGGTTCACCATCAAAAATAACATCTGCACAATCAAGTTTCATAAAAAAATCTGCTTCCGTTATCGTACAAACAGCGATCAAAGTTTCAACTTCGAAATCGATTTTCTCGAAGAATATAGATCGAAGAAGCTTTTGAACCGTACTAATGGATTCAGTTTTTAATTTGCTACAAACCTACAGAGTTTAAATTTACAAGAAGTTAATTATTACCCGTTTTTGTCTATATTTGTTTCAGGATTTAGTCAGTTTGTGCATAAAAGCAACAATTGTTGCTATTTCTGTCTTTTTAGTAACAAAACCCAATGTTTTAACATAATAATGTATTGAAACCCCAATATAATTATTAATAATAGCTTAAAGACCTTTCACAAAGTTTCGGCATCAGTTCAGCAAAGAACTTAAGTTCTTTGTAAGTCCGATTCCTCTGCGAAAATTCCTCTTATGTTCATTTCAAGTACTTCTTAGGACCTTTACAATGAATCTAATGTTTGGTACCTAAATATAAATAAATATTACCGAAATATTACTGTTCTGTACTTGCTTTATTTGTGCTTATTTCAACTTGATCTTTTGTTTGCTCTCAATAACAGTATTCACCTCATCGAGTCACTTACCTTCAAAGTCATCATACTCGGACTTCGAAGGCTACAGTCAATGCTTAACGATCCAAGAAACTCATTAATGCTCAGCATCAGTTTTACCGGTCAACCAAACTCCTTACTATCATTGCGTTTTCATTGCGTAACAATTTACATTGGGTTTTGGCCCATGGCTGTCAAAGACCATCAACATTCACTCAAAGATTGGCGAAGGCAAATGCATCTCAAAAGTGGTCATTGTTAGTATAAAGATTCATCCATTTTTGACTATAAACACATAAAACAATTGATTGATATATTTCGGATATTTTGTCATTCTCTAGAGCTTTTCTTGTTGTGATCATTGGACTGGTTTTAATATCATCATTAGTACATCATTTTGGGTTGTATTTCACATTCAATTGCTTCTGGTTGAAGTATTTCGCTATTCAAGAAACTCATACAAATCTGATCAATGGCCATAAAAAAGCACGAATCTTCATACTCGATCAAATGCGTATTTTGATTTCTTTCATATTCTTGCTTATTCATTACTTTGGTTTGATTCCCATGTCAAAGTTAATCTACATGGCAGGTAAATTTGCGCTTTTTTACTGAAATTTTCTTTTGAAGTGTTACAGATTCTCAAATTTTCTTAATGTTTACAGAAAGTTTGGATACAATAACTTACTATGCAAGTGGATGGGGCTTCCAACCAGTTAATAGTGATTGGATTTACAGTGGCATGATTTATGTCGGGTAAATTTTGTCTAATTTTCAACTAATATCCAGATTAATAATAACTTTTTTGCAACAGAGGATCAGCCATTGGGTTACAGCTATGGGCAACAATAAAACCCGAAACATCATTTTCAACTTACGTTAAATTGTTAATCAAACGATTAGTTTTGTGAGTAACCTCCGTACTCAACTGGAATGCAAATATCAAAAAAAATCGACGATCTCCTACTTTTTATGATTATTTAGGTATTGGCCAGTTTTGATGGTTACAGTGGCAATGAAAATTGTGCTACCATTATTTGTTTTTGGTTTATTCACTGCACACTGAATCGTGATCAAATGTTTGTAGTAATAACTTTTGGACTCTATTGCTGCATATTAACAATTACCAGAACGTTTATGGATTTTTCACTCAAATAACATTGTTAACAGATTAGCCGGTTACTCTAAAGAACATTTATCGCAAGCATAACACAATATTTCGGTTCTAAACTAATTTTTGTTTGGAGACATAACATATGCTTTAACCCGTAAAATAATATGCACACTTGGATTGCCTTTTCTGTTCGTACCGCTTACCAAGGGTAAATACGACGATAAAAAGCTTGATGCTAATGATAATAGCATCGATGGACCAAAGGAAAATAACCAAATAACTCATTGTATTTCAAGAAGAAACAATCACCCCTCAAGTATCAAACTTTTATCACACCGGAGTTCAGTTTATCAAATACATCCACATTTGTCACGCCATTCCCATTGTGATACATTATATTTTTACGCAGGAATGTCTCTTGCTTCAAATCATGGCTCCGTAAAGAAATTTACATCGTCAAATTATTAAACAAGCCATTTTTTATTCTTTAAGGCTAATTAAAATGTCAAATTAATATTTATTTTAATAATTCCAAGTTTCTTCCCAGATTCGTAAGCTTCACTGGATCCATGGTATCCTTAAGTATCTGATCTCAGATCCGATATTTTTGTTGAAAAATGTAAACATTTGGTTTCAAGTTCATCACATTTATTATAAAGTTGGTTTTAATTATTGTTATTATTGATTAATCATGTTTGTTTCTCGTTTTTTGTTTAAAACTGTAACTAGTCCACTAACGTGCAAATTATGTCACCATGGTTTACGTCTATCAGTGCCTAGTGCGTATCTTCCCTCGCTTGTCCAAATGTCAACCAGAAATGTCGACCGTTCATCCAATTTTAAAAAACTTACCATAGTTTCGAAGACCAGACAGTCTCGTAATAGTAAAGGAGATAGAAATAGGCCGTAAGTTTTCAATTTATTATCGAATCTATAGCCTTTAAATTCTGGTTAAAGATTATAATTCCCAATCTCATCGTTTATGTTTTTACTTGTTTCTTTTCTTTTAGGCTGCTCGCCGCAGGTTTCATTTCTGGCTTATTATCATTGTTAGGGTGGGAAGATTTGTTATCAAAAGAAGATCCATTTATTTTAACAATTAAACGTGGAATCCTTTGTATGCAACGAGAGGAGTTCGATAAAGCTGAGATTATCCTACACGCTGCTCTTTCTAATGCTGTTGATATGGTAATTATTCATTGAATGAATGTTTCTGTGAACATATTATAAATCTTTATTCCACCAATTTATTGATTAGGGCAACAGCAAAGCAATCGCATACATCTATTCGCTTATGGGCAATGTCGCTTTTCTTAAAGGCGATTATGAAAAATCTGAGAAGATTTACAAAGATCTGATCAAACGATTATTGGAATTCGGTATGTAATATATTTTTTTTATTTTCTTGATGAAAATTACTAATATTTATGATTTCAATACTCTCTGTCTCTCTCTAGGTATAGAAGAAGATCATGAAGCAATAGTAGAAATTTCACTAAAATTAGCAACTATATATAGTAAATTAGGAAAATTTAGCAAAGCAGATGTTGGTTTCAGTCATTGTTTAAGTATTCAAAAGAAACGAGCAAACCAAATTGAAAATGATAAAAAGACTAAGAATGAATTATCAGATTCAGATATAAATAGCCTGGCTTTGTATGGAATGGCTCTTGATTTTTACGGCAAACACTTGCTTCGTAAACAAGAATATGATGGAGCATTAAAATACACTCTTGACGCTTTAGCAGTCTGCGAAAAAGTCAATGGAAAGAACGCTCATCAAACAATGATTCTGCTTAGTGATGTTGGTACGCTGCTCAATTTAACGAACAATTTTGACGAAGCTGATGAATATTTTAAGAAAGCAATAAAAGTTGGAACTATCATCGAGTCAGATCACCTAAAAACATTGTACTACAATGTCGGAATGAACGATTTAATGCGACGTAACTGGCCGTCAGCACAGCAAAACTGTGACGCATCTTATAGATTTGCCAAAAAAGATGATGACATTTATATCATGGGTATGGCTGAAGATTGTTTGAAAAAAATAAGAGCACAAGTTGTTCAATAAAGTAATTTAATTATTTATTATTGAAAAGCGTTTATGAAAAAAAGATATCGGGCGTTGTGAAGTATATTTTGTGCCGAGGCAATTAATTTGAGCTAACAGAGCTCGAAAAAAATGTAGTATGATAAAAAAATTAATTTGAGTCATTTTTTTCAGAATCTTGATTGATTTTTTCATGTTTAAATAGGTCCATTAATTTGTTGAATCTTTCAACAACATTATCACAAGGACGATTGAGTTTACAAGAGATTTCTTTAAACAATTCAATCAGGTTTGCTTCATCGTCAATTGACACTTTTGCTTTACAAAATTCCAATAGTAATTTATCTTCAGCCAAAGTCCATGGTTTTTCATTATTACATGATTCTGTTTCAACTGAACTTTGTGTACTGTTAGATTGATCAACACTAACACTGGGTTCAACTGTTTGCGGACTTGCTGACTCTGGTTGATTCACAACAGCTCTAGATTCACGAAGTCCTAGGTATTGCACTTCAGCAGGCTGAATCTTTTTAGGACCCTGAAGATAGATTTTTCCTCCAATAAACTTCAAACTACAAGACGCACAATGACGAAGAGGAGCACTTGTAGCATTTTCAGAGCCATTACTGGAACTGCAATTATTGTTATTGTTAACATTATTGTGACAAATCTTACAAGGGCACGCATTTGTACCATATTTACTTTCTTCGCCATTTAAATCAACCATTACATTCTCAAAAGAGTCATCGCCTTCATCGTCAGCTGCATTCAAATCTTGAGCATTGGTGATTGCAATGTTGTCAAAATCTTCATCATTAGCAAATAGATAATCTTTTGGTTTTTCATCCAAAAATAGACTAGAAAATTCATTTATAAGATATGGATGACCACTAATCGCTTTGCTAACGGCAGCTTTTAATCTTTGTTTGTTAACTGGTGTCTCAGATAATTTCAATTGAACCAAGGTTTTGTGCAGTCTTGGGATACAATTAGGTTCCACTGCTGAGTAAACCTCCAATTTGCGAATAAAACTCAAATATCGTCTCCAATGAAGATATTGGTACATTTTTCCACACTCTTGAGCTTCAGATGCATTTAGAAGAAGAACAAAATCCTCCATCACTTGTTGTGCATTCACTTTACGCAATAATTTTTCAGTTTTTTGATGTAGATCTTTGATGGAACCATTAGTTGATCTTTGTTTACCAAACTCGTTTAAGTAGTTTAAAAATTGGACATAGTCCTCGTCACTTTTCAAGGCTTCCCGGACCTTGTTTATAAAACATTGGACCATTATTTGTTCTTTCTGTTCACGATTGTAATCATTAAGCAACCAATCTTCCGAAAGAAGAAGTACCGTGGATTCTTTGTGCTTAGTGACAAGTGACTTTTTGGCTTCTTTTTTGCTGACAGAACTAGATTCATGTGACTTATTCCGACCTTTATTGCTGGTAATTGTTGAACTGGCAACCATCAAAGCGGCAAGATCACTTTCATCATCATCTTCGTTCTGAACTGCATTATCAGAATTGAATACTGCGAGATCTTCACCCATTGGAATATCGTTATCTTGACAATTAGAAGATGATTTTTCTTCAATATTTTCAGATTGAGCAACTTCTTCCACTATATCAGAGACTTCAATTTCCAATTTATCTTCACTATTAACCTCACCAGACGTTTGAAGAGGCAAGCTTTGGTTTACTTCACAGGTGGTTGAGATAGGAGGAGACAACGAAGGGGTTTTCTCTACATTGATCACAGTGATTTCAGGGGAGGTTAAGCTTGGCATAGGTTTGGGTTTGATGTAAGGTAATTTACTCAGATAACGATATCGCCGAAGAACAATACTTGTTTCTTTGTTGGGTGATGATAAAGTCGAAGGATATTTAAGTGAATAAGTACCTTTGAGAGGAGAAAGTTTGAGACGAGGTAGAACTTTTGTTTTGGTATTAGCTATAAAATTGGGATCCAAATGTTTTGCTAACCATTCAGGTAAATCACTTAGGTTTGAGTAGTCTAATTTAGGCTGTGGCATTTTTCTAGGTATCGGCAAAAGTTTACCATACTTAATATAAAAAGTAATGGGATTACTTTCATCACATTTTCCAATTGATTCATCATTTATATGGCGTCTTTTATTTTTAATATGCATCCTAATTTGGTCAACACTTTTCACCGGAAGCAATAGCTGCTTTATATATTGACAAACAAGTTTTTTGTCAACACTGCTAAATTGTTCTAAACCTAAAGCAATCAAATGGTCTTCTGCAAGGCTGAATTTTGTTTTAGTTTTGGCGTTAGCTTTTTTTTGATTGTCACATAGTTTAATATCTGGAAAACCACTTCGAGGTAAGAGATGATGATATTGAAAAACGTGAGGATTATTTGCAATGATTGGTCTAACAATAACAGGGACTGGACATTGTCGCCATGAGTTTGCGGTAACTGTTATATTACTTGGATTTATTGGGTGATCCTCCAAAATTTTTAGGGCACCGGGCAGATTTGGAGTTCGAAAAATGGAAACTTCTTTTCCACAAGCAAATTGATTAATTTCTTTGATTAGGAAAGCAGCATTTTCAGCCACATTTCCCATAGTTTGACTGGTCATAGTTAATAAATACTGTTGTGTCAAAAGTTGAACATGTTGTGCCATTTGATGATGTAAAAGAATAACGTCTTCATCGGTAAAAAATGCACTCCACTTTGAGAGATCACTAGTTGATGCTGCTTCCAAATCAATTTTCTCAACTGGAGCAACTTCTAAATTATTTTGAATCACAGCTTCATGATTTTCTTTTCCAGCAAGCTCATCTACATCCTCAAATACACTATAATCAGGGTCTTTGGCTTCATCTTCGTCAAATATTCTGCTAGGATTGTCTTGATACAGTGAGTTAAGAAAATTTAACCATTCGTCATCATCAACTTTAGCTGGTTCGTACAAATCCTCAGTTACATCCGGGAACTCTTTAGTATCCTTAGGTTCCTCTTCAATCTGAAATTTTGATCTAGTTCGACGAGCGATTGTGTCACTTTCACTCATTTCAATATCAGAAGGTTCATCTGATCGACATGGGTCCCCCATAAACAAGTCTTCAATAATCTCTTCTTCTTCATCTTCAACCTCTTCTTCCTCTGCTGGATTATATTCATCATCATTTTCATCTTCATCCAGCTCGAGCAAGTCAAATATTGACATTGGTTGAATACTAGTTGTGAAAAAAGGAGTGAAAGAGAAACATAGTTAGTCAAGAAAATTAACCAAATCAAACAAAATATGATTAAAAACTAACCTTTTATTAGGCGATGAATGATCCATGATGACATCAGCTGTTTCTAGTTATCCAAAAAAAATGTGAAAGAAGCAAAAGATTACATTGAAGTTGATGTTATTGAATTGATTAATAATTATGTAGCAATTTGACTCACAAATGATGTTTAGATAAATCAAATTAAATAAGAAAAACAAAACAATTTGATTTTACAGATGTATGTTTACATGTGAAAGGAATGAAAAGTGAAAACAGTAACAGAGAATAACAGAGAAAAATTAGTGAAAATAGCATGTCCAAAAAGTGGGTTATTTTAAGAGATGTAAATTTTACTTGATTTGATGATAAAGATAATCGAACAATTAGCATAAATAGCTTTAAATCAACTCAATAAAGCATCAGTTATGATTATTTTGACAAAATTTCAGATTTCAAGGTATTTTAAATTGGCGGCTTCAATGCTTATTATGAGTTATGTGTTATTTGTTTATTTTTTCTGGTTAAATCCCCATAGAAACATCTATGGTCGAGTTGAATATTGAATCACTCTAATTGATGAAATAGCTTGGAAAGATGGTCAAGTGTTAAGAGAGGGTTGGAACTGATGGGAGTCTATTATTCGAGAATGGACAATTCCTAAGGCCATCGACTTTGCCCTTACAGTGATTGCTTGCTGTGGTAGAGTCTACTGTCTATATGTTTGAATGATCTCAGTGTTTAATCCATTCACTAGTAACATTTTCAATCAACTGCCATTAAATATGAAAACTAATGCTGATTGTTGGCCATTGTTTCAACAATAATTTCCCTTCTGCCCACTATGACTGATTCAACTATAGATGAAACTTACGTTCCTGGAGGATTCTCAACTGAAAGTGGATATTCTCTTGGTGAGGTAAGCAAACAAAATGATTTATCAAATGACCACCACTTTGTTTTGTATCAGCTTTACATGGTTTTCAACTCCATTTGAACTACATTAATCAACCTGACCAATAAAATAGATTAAAATCAGTGATTTTATCTAGTGTAAACATCATAAACTAAAGTGTTTCATTTATATCTTGTCAACATCTTGTTTATAATTCAAATATTTATGACAAGATTCCCAAATTGAGATTATCACTAATCTGTTTGATCTTGAAATGTTATTTGGACATGTAAATGATTGAAATTTTTTATTTTCTTTCCATTAACCAGGAGTGTGATCTGGAACATGATCAATGGTTACAGAATTACCTGACAACAATCGATAAAATAGTGTTACTTGGTAAAGCTCCTGCTAAAGGATTGTCCGAACCTGTAATTAATGAATGTTATCAATGGCGCGATAAGTTTAGGCAAAAATTCTCGGAGTAAGTATACTTTCAATACAACATGAATTATTTCAAAAATCATCCAATACTTATACTGGAAGCTCTTACATTAACCAATTACTTATGTGATTATGTGCATTCAGTTCATGTAAGATTAAGTCACAGTTAAGTCGGAATCAAATAGGAAGTGAGATTTACTCTTTGGTTACACTTTTAATTTTGAAGATGTGCTTAGTGATTGTATCAAGTATGAGATAAACCTTATTCCAGTCAAACATAAAGTATGCTGTAAAATAGAAAATATTATCTAAAGGCGGAATTGTTTTACTCCGCAAAAACACCTCGGAACCTCCGAGTCGAAAGTATAAACCTTGAGAAATACAAAACATACATTTCCTACTCACAATTATTGAATAGGATCGTATGGTAATTCATGGTGATTTAAGTCATTTTGCAGCTGACTGAGACTTTGATTGTATCGCTTAACGCAGTTATCCACAGTTTTCAGTATCATTTCAGAATATCGACTAATTTTAATTTGATTATTGTTTTCTTTGTTTCTCCTGTCAAGAAGTGAAAGAGGATCAATTTTTTTAAAATACTCTAACCAGACGGACAGTAACTGGACAAATTTTGAGACACGGTATGTCAATTAGTAACGATGTTAGTGATGTTTGAAATTGGTTAATCAAGTAATGTTTCTCATCAAACAGGAGTGCAACTTCAAAGTCATCTATTGAAAGCTTCAAATGGGACCCATCAAGATTGATTTCACGTTTTTCTAGACAACAGTGTAAGATCAAGCTTATTTACCAGTCAATTCACTTATCTTTGAATCCTGAATCAAAATAATTCATAAAACCCAAAACTAATTTGTATTCAATCTTTCTAGATGATCTAAGTAGCAGTACAACATCAAAATCATCATCTGATACATCGCAAATCACTTTAAGCAGTCGTGGTAGCATAAGTGAAGAGAATGGAGGAAAAGGACTCGGAGCGTCTCGAGCAGTCATTTTAGAACCATTAAAATCGCATAACAAAAGTGTTCCTTCAACTATTGACGATGTTGGCCCATCAATTAAAAAGCCTAAGCCCATACAGCTTCCTCCAATCAATGGCAAACCAAGTAAAATATCAAAAAGACTCGGCTCAATAAATGCTTCAAATAATCAAGTCATACACAAGAAAGGTAAGCACAAAAGTACCAGAATTGTGCTTATCACTAATGTACTCGAATCTAGTTAATGCACACTCAGTGTGTACTTAAAACTCACAATGTCAGTACAATTCATACTAATGTAATCCTTTTTTGCTTCCAGGATTCCCATCGCCTCCTGTGTTTTTTTCAATCAACGATATATTTGCTCATAAGACTAACACTGATGATTATATGAGTAAATCTGAGAACATTTTCGAGCACAAAAATCAAGCAAAATCGAAAGGATTTTTCCGAAACTATCAAAAGGCTGAGAAATACCAAGCAAATGGATCATCCTCTTGAAACAATCAACTTTTCGATTTAAATTGAATCTCATTTTTTACAATCAAAATCAAAGATTTCTTCATCGTTTGTAGATGAATATTTCATCATAAAAAAAATGTTTATTTTCAATTATAAAATAATCATTCGATGTGATACACTCAAAATATATTAATATTTAATCTTGATATTTATCATTGGGTAATCTTGTAAGATTTTGATTTGCTTTTTGAATCAGATTATTTTGAAGCGGATTAAGCTACCAATCAGGGTTAAAGGTGTAGAGATATGACTTATGACTAAACAATAGCAATGAAAATTTTCTTTATCATAAGGTGTAATTCCTAATCATGTGCGGTTGATAATCTATCAAGTTAATCAATCTCGTGTTGCCTGTTAGTGGAGTGGAAAGTTATGAGTAATCAAGTATAAATCATCAATATTTACCATATTAATGAAAAGCGAAATCAGAATAAAGATTAGACAAGGTTAAGATGGTCGTATCGACTTGTTTTGCATTCGATTGTTATTTAATCCAAAGTAACACAATCAGGTAACTGGAGGACTCGGCAAATAAACAACTCGTGATGCCATTTACATTGTAAGACTAGTAAACAATGTAACAATCGGGTTTATCAATACAAACACAACAACAATCAAATGGTGTTTGTCAAAAATTGAACCCTTTCCAACCGATTTCTGTATTGAATGTCATTAATGAGACATTATTGAAATCGTCTGAATCTCTAGGATTAACTACATGAACTGGTAGATATGTGAATCCATTTACTTTACAGGGAACATTTTAGTCCAGCTTTTCACGAGACTTTCATCTGATTAGATCGTCTCTTTGAAATTGACAATCTTGATTGTAGGTACATTATTTAACCTGTTTACCAATTGTTTGCAAGATGCCAAACCAATTGTTGGCATTTCTTTTTGTGTCTTTCAATCTTGATAATTGTCTGTTTCTTGATTTACCGCCATCTTCCTCATCAATCAGGTTATATTGTAGTCGTTTAATCAACAACAATCAATCTCTCACAGTTTCCTTCTTCCTAATCATATTATTTTCAACTCTCTAGGAGGCCTTCTACCTTTCATATTTGTCTTGCTTACCTTCTTGTGATATTTAATTTTGAAGAGATCTCTTGACCGTACAAGAGATCTCTTCACAATTAAAGTTAATTTACAATTGAAACCTTCACATTCGGAAAAACAAATTTGTTGACGCATTTTTATCCAATCTAATGAGATGAAGTTTTTTTTTGGTGAAACCACAATCAGATGTTCAATTGTACTCACCGGCAAAGTCAAATTACAATGTCAATACAGTCAGTCCTTAGCAACATCTAACGTCTAAGAGTAAAAAATATTGAAAGCTATTTAATCAATCTGATTACTGGACTAAACCATTCAGATATTCAATTACACTTTCAAGATTCTCATTTTGCCGGATTAACTGAAAATAGTTTAATCTTTCAACTTAAAATGAAATCAGTTAAATTGCAGCAAATCTGTCAATTGATCAATCAAAATAATTTCATTTCTTTCATCCTTTCCAATTGATCCCAACTCAGAAAAGGTTATTGGACCTTTAAATGGTCTCTATATTTAGAATCACTTTCATTTGGTGAAAAAAAGTCAAGCATAACTTATTATTATAATAATATGGATAACAATTGATTAGTTATTCAAATTTGACCATTCAATGTTAACAAGTGATTCCATAAGTTGTAATTAAAAGGCAATTAGGGATTCATTTGATTGCACTCTTGCAAATTGTTAGGGATTGAAAGATATTCATCGCTTAAAATCTGATTTTGTGTGGTTAGAGAGGAAACATCACAATATTTAACAGACAATAGAGTAAATGTTATTTACTATATTGATAATATTCTAATTAATTTACTTGACAAGTGCTTCACAAGAGGATGATGATGGTTGAAATGATAATCATGATCTTTCTAATTTATCCAATTGACACGCGAAAAGAGACACGCGACTGTTAACTACAATTTAATAATTGCTGTTACGATAATTTTTTGTGTAATCATACCAACAGTGTGTATAAGATACAATTGTTATCACACATCAGCTAATGCACAACAATCAAGTAGAGCTTAACCATATCAGTTTAACCACAACAATACAACCATTTTCATCAAAAAATCCTGTTCTAGTATGATAATACATGATAATCCAATTGTTCAACCAAATTGGATTCTATCGCATTATCATTTACCATCCTCATCTTTAAAGCATCAATATCTTTCATCGTGGTTAAACTGGTTAACCAAATATGGATTACACCTTAATTCAGATTTTTATAGCTTTCCACTTTGCTTGATAAGAGTTGACTGGTTTATCCAAATTTGTACTTGGTTCCTGTAAAAAGAAGAAAACGAGAAAAATGTTAATTTATTTCCATTTTTTCGAAATATTTTTTGCGCTTAATTATAATTTAGTTTCAGTGTTTTTACCTCAACCAGGCTTCAGCATTCATTCACAATGGTCAATCCACAAACTGTATCTAATTGCAATCTCAGTGACTTTTTGCTTTCATTGTCAACCAGCTATTGATTTTAAGTTGAAACGATTTGAGCGATCATTTCAACGAAACAAATCAATATGAATTCAAGGTGGCATTTATCAGGCAATTTATATTGAATAAAATGCAAGCATAATAATTGTTATTTATATCCAGTTTGAATTTTCGTTTTCCTGTAATGATAACTATTAATTTAAGATTTCTTTTGCTTCTCATTTTCATCATCTATTAATCAATTTAACCTGATAATCCAAGATATAGCAAAAAAATAAACCTAATCAATCAAATGTCACTTCCTAATCAAATGAATTGAAACAAATCTGGCCTGTAAAATATATCAGAATCATCTGAATGCAAGAAAATCGATTCAAATTAATTTGATTATTACTATTATAATGGAACAAATTAAAAGTATTGAAAGCCTTAAGCAAATGAATAATGTTGATACTTAAAACTCTTGAATGGGTATAAAAAAATTGCTAACAATTCAAAACTTTTGATAAAAAAGTGAATGAATCAATTTCAAAAGCAATAATAAAGCTGTTCATATTTAGCTCATATGTATTAGTAAGCTGACCAATTTGCTTAAAGTTGAGCCAGTTCATGTTTCCGGGAAAAAAGCTATGAAATTGTCAGAAACATCATCATGTAAACGATAAGGCGATGAAGGGTTTGATAACTGTCGCTTCTTTTCCTTAAAACTGACCAACTGTAAGCAATTTCCTCAAATTGGTGGCAATTTTGATAATATTGAAAATGAATGTGAGAAAAAATATCATCCAACACCAACAGTCAAACAGCTAATGGCTATTTGTGATTCAGCTAATAAATGTCATTGAGATTGCAACTCTCTTCCTATTCAATAAATCACAAAGCATTAGATTGTAATGGCAACCAAGTGATTAATCTTTTTCCGTTTACCTGCAATTATGAGAGAAAACAATTAAACTTAAAATGTATTATATGATAGACCAATGAATTAATTGATATTTCAAGTAGTTCAACTACGATCTGCTGATGAAATTGACAATGCTTACAATAAAATACAAAAAGGTTTTACCAAATAAAACGTGTTGAGTCTTGATTATTGCTTGAAAAATGATCGTTATAATGAAAATGACACAATCGCAAATTCACTTGACAATAAACCAAAATAACCGGAGAGAACCAGCTTCGCTTTTCAAGTATATGAAATCAGGTCTTGTTAATGTCTTGTCTCTTGGAGAAAAAAAACTTTGATCAACTTCGAGATTGTACATTATCTGGTTTAGATCCTGATTACCAAATGAAATCCATGAAGAGAGCTAGCAAAGAGAGGAGAGAGACAGAAAGATAAAGATAGCGATGAGACCAACGGAAAAACGTAAAAAGATGATAATTAAAAATGGAGACGAGAATTAGAAACGATATCATGATAAGTCTAATGATCAAGAGATCTCTTGAGTTAACTTGTGAGCAGCATTGAAAATCAGGAAAATGGATGATTGTTGATGATTAAGAAATCGAGGGAAGGAGGAGGAAGGAGTTGAGGAGGAACCATTTCACCATTATCTATGTAAAAAAACAGTAAACAATGAAGTAAAATTTAGCCCCATTAATTAGGGCTCTTTCCCCCCTCATCTTACCACCACAACAGCCAAAGTTGGTATAAAAGTTTAAGACATTCAATCAGAACTCATCATAAAAGTTTAACAAAATTTGAGCAACAAAAAAAAATCTAAACTGCTTACTGTAAAAACAGCAAAGTTAACTCTGACTAACATAGTCAACAAAGCTTGCAGTGTCAACCAAGCTCTAAACGCTCATTTCAACACTTACTTCTTCTAGTTGCCATCCAAATTTACTGTATTTTTTTTGTAGTTTTAATAAGGTCCAATTGTTGATCAAGTTAACTACCCAAGTATGATTGTAACACCGATGTCTTCACAAAAAGCCTCCATCATTGACCCATCCGAGCTGTATCGACCAGAATCTAACAAAGAAAAAAGTGAATTCAGACAATATACTACTAACCAGGTAAGCTTGAAATTAATTAATCAACTGAAATCATTACAATTAGCAACAAAAACTACTTACCTTGCAATTAACATTCTAATTAAATTGCTTTTTTCATCTTATCGTCTGACTAGGATGACCCAATCCAGAAGAGAGTTCAAGAAACCTATTTAAAAATGCACACTCATCAAACTGTTGATTTTGTGGACCGCAAGATGGCTCAATGGACAAAATTTGACAAGATGGAGTTGACAATTATGGAAGCGTTGGAAAAGTTGAACGATGTTATCGATGAATCCGATCCTGATGTTGATATGCCCAATATTGTACATGCTTTCCAAACAGCTGAAGAGATCAGGCGAAAACATCCAGACCTTGATTGGTTCCATTTGACTGGATTAATTCACGATCTGGGTAAAGTAATGGCCTTTTACGGTGAACCTCAATGGTCCGTTGTTGGTGATACTTTTCCAGTTGGCTGTGGTTATGCTGATTCAATTGTTTACCGGGAAACAAGTTTCAATATGAACCCTGATTTGTATGATTCAAGGTACAATACCAAATTTGGAATCTATTCACCAAACTGTGGACTTGACAATGTTAAAATGTCTTGGGGACATGATGAGTTTATGTACCAGGTCTTGATTAACCATCCAAACATGAGTTTACCAGAAGAGGCTCTTTACTGTATTAGATATCATTCATTTTATCCATGGCACAGTTCAGGAGATTACATGTTTCTTTGCGATGAAAAGGACAAGAAAATGTTAACATGGATCAGAGAGTTCAACAAGTTTGATTTATACACTAAAAGTGAAAATGTACCTGATATTGATCAACTTCGTCCTTATTATCAATCACTCATTGACAAATACATTCCTGGTAAAGTTAAATTTTAACTTAACTTGGCATTTTCAATGATACTTATCAATTATTGTTTTAACTATAACATTACCTTTACCTTTCTAATTGTTTTAAACACTTGTATCAAATTTGTTTTTCATATTTAACCGTTCATTTATCTTATGAACAATGCTTCAATCATGTAAACATCACATTCATTCATCTATTCACTGTTAATTATTTCAAATTAAAAATTCAAATTATCTCTAAAATCAACTCTTTTTTCGACCTTTTGTCCTTTTTCAATTTAAACATCAATTGAAGCTTTTTACGGTAAAAAAGTCAACAACGATATTAAAGATATAATTTGTGTTTATTGTGATAGTTATTACAATAGTTTGGGTACAAACTATGTTATGAATTATATATAATAGTTACAAGGTATTTAACCGTATTTGATTCAGATACTGTACAAAAATCAAAGACATTAAAGAGTTATCATGAGAGGGTTATCAATAATTAATGACAGACAGTGAGACACACATTTACTGAACCAGATTTTAATCAGATTGTGTGTTGCAATGAAAGGTTTAATCTTTAGCTGTAATCCATTTCCTAGAATAATTTAAAATATAATATAATGTTTAATTCGTGAGATTCGTCAGATATTGCTGAGATTCAAATCAATCTGAGTCCAGCATCTTCTTAAGATTATCATTTTCCTGGCGCAATTTGTCCAAAGTTAGCCTTAAAGATTCATTTTCCTTCTCTAAATAACTGGCTCTCAGAACAATCTGATTCTCCTTTAACCTTCTCGCCTCACGAGATCTTTTGGCAGCCATATTGTTCTTAACCCGACGAGCCCAGTAACGAGCATCTTTCAATGTATCTGGAACATGTTGCTTCCTTGATTTCCTCATGATTGGCTGGGGTCGCAGTTCATCCTCACTGAATCGAGCACTTGATGGATCAAAATTTGCATCACTTCCAGGCCTAGTTGCTAAAGCAATATCTAATGGACTAGAGTCAAGATTGGATGGAAATAGGAAAGATTAAGATTGATTTATTAGATTGAAACACTTAAAATGGTGAGATCTTAATTAATCAACTAATCAGCAACATTGTATCACAATTCATCGCCCACATCTTGAGTAGATTGGCTCAACTATACAACTGTTTAGCATTAATTTAGATAGATTTGGGTATTTAGCATTTTTTGGGCGAAAATTATTGAAAGCTCGTTCTTACCTGAATTCAACTTCAACTTTTGACTCCTTTTGCATGGTGTCCATGTACTTGGAATCAACTCCATTCTCGATAAGAAATTCATCCAAATTCATTAAATTGTTGTTTATGTTCAAAATTTGATTTTGAATCTGTTGATGACCATTTGTAAGTGTATGTTAAAATTGTAATAATAATGGCAATAGGAATAGTTGAAAGTGAAAGAAAACACAAGAAACAATGATTAATAACAGTTTCATCTTTTGCTTCTCAACAAATCAGTCAAATTTAAATTTAGTCAAACAATTTTAGGCTAATACACAATTAAAAGAAACAACGTTAACAGCAGCATCAATGAAATCAAAAAAGGTACCAAATTGCCTAAAAATTTGAATGGCTTGAAATTCAATTTTGTTGATCCATCAAAACAATATGAAATAGCTTTTTGTTCAAATACAATTATCAATAAATTTACAAAATCAAACCTCAGTTTCATCCATGTAATAATTTTTCATAACGACAAGTATTATTAAATCTGGTTCACAATTAGATTGTAGGTTAGAGGTTTAAGTTGACCAGTAAAACAGATTCTTCAAGATTGTAACACAGTTCAAGAAATGTAGACATGAAAACAATTTATAAGAGGCTTGTAAAGATGTTTTATGGTCAACCAATTGATAAAAAGATGAGGCTGTTGATGTTGGTGACATTGCTGATGATGATGGTGATGGTCACGATGATAATATAATTCAGTGGACATTAAAATGAGGTTGAAATTTGGAAAACGTGATAAAGGTAAGACCAGTATTAGGTGAGTAATAAAGATCACGTTGGTTAGACTCTAGACCAGAGAGCTTGTTGCCATGGCAAGAGAAGCAACAGTCAACAACAGTAAACCTAATTTCCTATCAAATCTTAATTGTTAATCACTTGTAAATATTAAAATATCACCTAATAATGTTTATAATTGAATGAAATGATTAACCAGAGTTTAGATTGAAAAGGAAACCTGAAAAATATGTCTTCTATTGAAAAACATTTACATAGGAAATTGGGTTCAACCAGTAAACTGTAAGCTTACCAGACCAAAGAGTTTGGGTAAATTAACGTGATTATCAAATCCAATGTGATCCCAATTTAATAGAGAAATCTAATTAACTGTGAATTAAATCCACATTTTTGCCCCTAAATCATTAAGATACAATGCATTTAATCACATGTAAAGTGTTTTAATTTTGCATTTTGCTAATTTTTAATCAAATCAACAATTTTTGTTGTTTTTAAATATTGTTCATTTTATTTCTTGAGTCTTCATCTTCAACTCACAGTAAATCAATTGTTTAAACCAATCAATCAAAGGATCAACAATTTAAATCATTGATTTTGAATAAACATTTGAAAGGCTATTTATTTTTAAGCCTGAATTTGAAAGTGAAATATCAATTGCAGCCAAAAATTGAATGATTTTACAATTGACAGATGATTGATATTCATGATTGAAAATAATGAAATGAGCTATTTTTTATGCTTTGTAAATCAGTCTAACAATTAGTTTTGATGGTTTTAATGGTTCTCAAAGACACAACCTTGATGGACAACAATTAATCTCGAGTTTCATCAAAGCACAATTATTTTAACACTTTTAATTGTGAGATTATCTCTTCAGCTTATTTGTCTAATTTATTAAGAAAATTAGTAAATCAGGATAACAATCAACAGTCAAGGTTTTTCACAATTGAAATAATGAAAGATTCAAATTTTAATTCCAATTGACCAAAAGAACCCAAATGCTCCATTAACCAGGATTTGGTCAATATCAATGGTTTAGTGAAAACATTTCAACTTATTCTGATTTCATCTTGTTAATTGTGACTTTCAAGGTTGATAAACTGGACAATCAACTGGGAGAATCGATTGATTAACTTATTGGATCAACTGAGATTATTGATTTAGACACTTTTAAACTTGAATTTCCAGTTTGCAACGATTTAAGCTTATTTATGTGAACATTTATGGGAACATTTATGAGACCATTTAGCTGACCATTGAGACAACACCTTTATTAATTGTGACCATTTAAGATGTTTAGTTAACATTGTAAATGAATTTTCATGCAGTGAGATGATGAAGGAAGAAACCTTGATAAATGAAGGTAGAAATTAATTGTTGACAATTGTTGCCTTTGTATTATTTTTTATCATAATTTTGATCGCTTTTAAAAAAGTCAGGAAATTGTTAGTCGCAACAATTTACCATCATAATGGTTACTATTATTATTAATGTAAATCATTACCAACGTTTTACCAACATTTACAAACATTTCTAGGCCAACTTGACCATGCTTTTAACTCTTTACTTTCAATTATTTTGGGTTTACTTATTGTTATTTTTACTGTTAACTAATTGTTGCAGTTGACAATTTAATGGCCACAAAAAGGTCCATCACTTCATTACTATTAATGATCAAATTCAAGGTGAATTGTGGTTTAAAAAGGAAAGGTCAGTTGTTAAATTAACTATTCAGATAACCTTACAAAGATTTTGCACAAATTATTCCAAGATTCACAAATTAGGAATTGTTTCAACTGCTTCAATACTAACAATCGTTTATGAATGAACAATCAATCAAGTTATCAACGGCTGATCGATGGTTAATCAGTGTAAACAGGTGGAAGAATCGGTCAAGAGTTAAGTTTGAAATGCGTAACGATTACATCAAAATATTGGTTTTTTATTTAAATTATCACATTAAATCTGAAGGTGAAAATTGTTTGATTAAAAATGACTAGAAAATGGATTTTCTTGAAAGCTGAAATTGTTGGTCTTTTAAGGCTAAAGGTCTTGAGGTTGCTTTAAAGTCAATGTTGCTTTGTTTTTGCAGAGTTGTTTGGTTGCTATCTGACCCAGTGAATTTTGTATCTGTTGTTCAGGTGAAAGAGGATAATTTGGATGAAATGTTGGTTCAGGTAAGGGAGCTGAACGGCTGTAAGTAGGAAGGAAAGATGAAAGTATCGATGAACCACACCTTTAGTTGAAAGTGAAGCTGATTATGATGATGATGATGATGGTGAAAATTAGGTTAAGGAAAAGTTACCAAAAACATGTAAGACACAATTAAGATGTTGATGATGATGATGTCTGGGCTGGTCAAGACGGAGGAAGATGATAAAGATTGAATGGGAGAGAGTGAAAAAAGGAGAGAGAAGGAAGAGAAGGAGACATTGGAATAGGAAGATTCCGATGTTGGATTGATTGGGATTGTTTCGTGGGTCAAACTATAAAAACTCACCCAACATCAAACAAAACTCTCATTTTATATCTGTTTTTTTTGTGCACATTTACTAAGGTTTTGTATCTTCATCGGCCATTTGGATATCATTAACAAGTCACCATGATACGAATTGTGAGTTCTATTGTCCAATCTAAGTTCATTTGAATTTACCTCTTTGTTTTTTGGCTCGCGTTGCTAACGTTACTGGTTACACTTTTGCAGCTCATTGTTTTAACTTTTATTGTTACAGCTTAATTTGTGTCAATTTATCTTAATTTTATTGCTAATAAACTTTTTCTTTCAATGTTCAGGCTACTTTCGCCGTTATATTTGTCACCGTTACCGGTCAATTTCAAGGCCAAAACTTTCAAGCTGGTCAATCTTTCCAACCCTCAACTACTCCAGCTCCAGTTCACCCTCCAGCCCAAGTACATTATGTAAATATTGGCCAAGATCTCGCTGGTGATTATAAGGTGAGTAACATGAGATTATAAATCATTTAAACTCAATTATTTCTCAATTATTGTGTTTTATCAATGCGAATCGTCAGTTAAACTCATACTTAAATACGGTGGAATTCATGATATTAAGAACGATTTCTTTCATCTCAAATGCTTAAAATTTAAATGTTATATAAAATTCATTTGATGAGTCTCTTCCATACCACAAGTAATTTTTCAATTTTACATCTCAAATTGGTTGAATTTAGCATTCAATATCCAATGTTCAACCAATCATCTTGACAAATCTTTTAGCTTTTACTTCTAATGTTCAGTAATTTTGCTTGTTTCGTTTGTTTATCAGATAAAATGAGTACTTCATTATATGTTAAGAGAGTATTTAGCTGAATTATAAGAATTAGAAGATGATTTTTAGTTTGAGATAACATTAATTAAACTTGAATTGTGTCGTGAAAAATTTATTTCAAGGTGAAAAACGTTCACACATTAATTTAGTTAATCAGAAATGGTAGGACAGTAATAAGCATTGAGAGGTCATTAATTAAGACGATAAAAGTTCATATCGCCCGTAATCATTACTGAATGCTTTACAGTATTACTTGAAGTAAACATTACAGCAAAATGATTAGTTTGCTGATAGTTACAATAGTTACAATTTGCTTTCATTCCCGAGAGCGAATCAGTAAAACATTAAATGAATGAGATACCTAGAAGCTCATTTGGAGCTTGTTCCTTACTGCATTCATATCTTCATATTTTCTGTTTCTTATTTGCTCAACAGTCTTATTCTCTCTGAGAGTCTCATGAATTATCTCAGTAAACAGAATTTTAGGATTTTACAAACAAAGAAGTATTTCACTCAATCGCTCTGATGCTTCAACCACTCACTCTCACTGTCTTAAACAGCTTTACTGTAGGCATTAAACTGAACCCAAAGAAGGTAGGAAATTTGTTTTAGCAGATTTTAATGATTAACTGACAATTAATTGTTTTGATTGGCTCACCCACCGAATCAATTAATTGACCTGGTAACCTTTAATAATTCATTTTCATTTCTCGTGATTAGCCATTGATTTAATTGGAACACACAATCGACTGTTTCACTTTACAAGACAAAAACAAAACGTAAAACAAAAGCCAATACAATAGCATTACAAAGCAACCCAAACATATTAATGAATAACTTAATGTCGATTCAAATTATTAACATGATAATATGATTGAACGTGATTCGTGATATAATGTTAATCACAATCAACATTTACAGAATTTATCAAAATCAAACTTTAATTGACATTATTCTCGATTAGATCTTAGATTTTAAATTTTGTTTTGTTGCTGCCATTCAATTGAATATAACTTGCGGCATTTTGATTAACAGTGATAGACTCACGTTCAATTGAATCTATTGAAAATAAAGGTACAATTAAGTTTAAAGGCGAAACAAAAGACAACAATTTAACATAACAATTTACAAACTAACCTAATATATTGAAAAGTGAAAAGCCTTGACATTGTATTGTAATGTAAAAGGGAAACTTGTATTACCTCTAAATGGTATATTAATATAATTAAGATATCAATTTTGATTCACCTCCGATCATTTGGTTAATTAACTCAAATTATTTGACCTTTCACTGATTGACCAAATCATTGAGGCTGCAAATCGGTGTCTCTATTGCCATGATAAGGTTAATCAAACCAGAAAATCAGGAAGATTGTGAGAAGACAAGATTTCTCAGCTTTTTTGGTCAATCAATTTAAATCTCAATAAAGGTTGATTGAAATAATGTTAATAATAATGATGATTGAAGTAGCCTTAGGTATGTAAAAGTGAAATTGTTGATGATTATCGTTGTTATCCCGGAAACAACATCACTTATTATCATTATTTACTGATTACCATTCCCAATGAATGATGAAGCCAAGCGTAGGCTTCACTGGCCATAATACTGTTAATCATAATAATAATTTTAATAAATATATATTAGCCGAACCTGTAATTTAACATTTTTCACTGTTAAAATTTACAATAATATAATAGTTGATAAAAATCAAAGTTAACCTTTTTCTTTGTCTTATTGTATTCACCTCATTATCAACAACTGATCAACAATTAGCATAAATCATTGATATTGCTGTTGATTAGTTGTTACCAAACTCTATTATGATATTTAACACAATTAACTTGCAATCATCAACTTCTCATTCATATTTTATTATTGTTATATTTGCATTTAACAAAACATTTTCACTTTTATCATCAAGCTTATTATTTCACCAAAATATAATATATTGTATACATCATTATGTGTATTAATAATGGGTAGCACTTATCAGATATAATAATTGAGATTGTTGATTTTGTTTCATTGTTCAATTTGATTTACATTTTTTTTCTTAATTGTATTTTAGTTCGGTTACGATACTGGTAAAGGTCCTCTCGGTCAATCATTCAGAGAGGAATCTCGTTTACCTGATGGAACCGTAAAAGGTGCTTATGGTTACGTTGATGCCTCTGGTCAACAAAGGATCGTACGTTACACCGCCGGTAAAGATGGTTTTAATATAGATGAGGATACTCCAGCTGCCGCTGCTGCTGCTAAAGCCACTCCAGCACCCGTTCAACCTCAACGAGCTCCAGCTCCACAATTCCAGGTAAATTTGAATTGAAAAGTTTAAATTGCTATTTTATTTATTGATTAATTGAATGTCTTATTTCTTAACAGAGTTTCCCACAAGCTCAACCAGTCAGATTCCAACACCCATCAGCCCCAGCTCAAGCTCCAACTGCTGCCCCAGCTTCCCAAGGTGATTATAAATCCAATTGAAGATAACACCGAGTTACTTCATTAGCCTGCATCAATTTCATTGATTGTCTTAATTGAAAATTTTAATCTTTTTTATTTTTATCCTTTTATTTCACAGATTTCAATCCTGCCTTAATCCGTCAACCCGCTCAACTTCAAAATCTTCCTCAAAACAACGCTGCTCTTCAATACAGACAATATCAACAACAAGCTCAAGCTCAAGCCCAAGCCCAGGCTCAAGCTCAAGCTCAAGCACAAGCACAGGCTCAAGCCCAAGCTCAAGCACAAGCTCAACAACAAGCCCAAGCTCAACAACAAGCCCAAGCTCAATTACAAGCACAAGCACAGGCTCAACAACAAGCACAATTACGTCAAGCACAAGCTCCAACTTACCAATCTCGTCCCATTACCCCAGCCCAAGCTCAAATCGCTAACCAATTATCTGCATCTAACCCACTTTCCGCCTTCCCACAACTTCCAGGAGTTCGTCTTATCCAGATAAATCCTCGTCAAAATGCTCAACAATTACCTGCATCAGACTCTGTTGCTTCAAATAGTTTTGGCTCAAACAATTTAGCCGCTACTAGTTTTGGTGCTTCTGGTTCATTGACTTCAACACCAGCACCTGAGGAATACACTGGTCCAGTTGTTATCAACGCTGCTCTCCTCAACTACGATATTGGCAGCTCCAGACGAAACTAATTTAAATCTTTTTTAGAAACTTTCTTTTCCCTCTAATGCTCACCATTAATCTCATGAAAACATTAGTTCATTAGGTATTTTGAATTTTCGATGTTCTTATTTCAAAAACAATAAATAAGGATAATAAATGATAAGAGAGTTTCAAAATCATATTTTGTGACTGTTAATGAAATAAGATAAATATGCCGAAAGTGCCAATATCAATGTTAGCATTTTTGAGCCAACATTGTACTTAAACTGTATTTTTCTGTAACATTATAATAAGATGTGCCGGCATTAAATTTGTCATTTAAATTTCTAATTGATATTTAAGATTAATTTCACCTAAAAACATTTTTTTCATTCATTTACACATTTAAAGTTCAATAAATGCAAAGTTTCAGATAAGTAATAACATATTGATTGTAATTAAAGTTTATTATTTTGAAATATTAATCGATAATAGTAATTGATAATAGCTCATCAAAATTAGCACGAACAAAAAATTACAAAAGGTAGATCTATTACACTATGAAATGCTTCAAGCATATTAAGATGGGATTTGAAGTAGGGCGTTTTGGTTTGGAGGCAGATAAATAACATTTCGAGACCTAGAAAGTACAGCGGCGATTTCTTCAGCAGCTTCTAATCTACGAAGTTCAACTAATGCCTCTCCGGCTTTTCCGAAAGCTGAAGCCAACATAGCAGCAGCTTGAGAGTCTCCTTCTGCTGTAATGATTGCAGCCTTTTTCAACTGCTCGGCTTTCTCGACTAAGAAACGAGCTTTTTCGGCATCTTGCTGAGCTACCTGTTTCATCTCAACAGCAGCAGTGAATTCTCGACCAAAAGTAAGATGTGTCTAGAATGGTAAGTGAAACATTAGCAATTGGACAAAGTTAGTTGCAAGAAATTTATAACTTACCAATGAAATATCATCCAGTAGCAAACCAAATTGCGCAGCTCTTTCTGTAAGATCTTCACTGACTCTTTGTGAAACGATCTCTCTTTGTGTAATTAATTCACCAGCATCGAATTGAGCCTGTGTAACATAATTGAGAAATGAATTAAAATCTATACTTAACTAATCGATTTGCTAATAAAGAGAAAAAATTCACTTACTACAACGGCTTTAAGAACTTCATTTGTAATAGAAGGTAAAACTCTTTCATCGTAGTCAACACCTAGGCTAGAATACATCTTTGGTAAATTTTCAGGAACCGGTCTAAATAATATACGCAGGGTAATGTTAACATTTTGTAAATCTAAATTCAAAAAGACAACAGATTAAAGGTCACATGAAATGAAAATATAACATATAATAATCAAAATTGAAATGTCTCAGTCATAAACTTGAAGATTTACCTTTACTTCCAGTAACAACCGGTACATTCCTGGGTCTTGATCGTACATCAAAAATGATAGGCTTTTGAACCCATGGTATCAAAAAGTGAGTTCCTTCACCAACAACGTTAGGTTTAACTCCTGAAAACCTATCGAAAATTACAGCTCTATGGCCACCATCGACTAAAAAATAAAAGTGAAATAGAAAGTCATTATTGCTATGATTGAGAAGTAACCTTAGATATGCTGATGAAACTAGACATTTTATTCATACCGTTATACAAAGCACTGTTAACAACACCACCAGCGAGGGCAATACCAAGACCGAGACGTCCGATTCCAGCTAATATTTGCGCCATTATAATCAATTAAATTCAGAACCAATTAAATTTAACTCAGAAATAAGAAAAACATGGAACAAAAAACGTGATTTAATTTTAATACTTAATGACAAGAATCACCTTCAGATGGCTCTTAACTAAGGGAAAATATCCTCATTACATGCATTTCAGTAATTTTTCTTAAATTTCCGATGGTTTCTTCTTCTTTCTTTTTCTTGTAACATTTAAATCTCTAAACTAATTTTATTGATTCAAACTTAATTGTCCAGCAAATTAGCATATTTTTTAATCTAGAAATATTTGAACCTCACACTGAAAATGAGAAAAAATTGTGAAATTCGTGAGGACACAAAACGATCTGAATAAAAAACTAACTCGATTGCAGAAGTGATTTTAGATACTCGACGGAGACTGAATATGATTTACAATTATTTGACATACAATTCCAGGTTTCGAAATAGAAAGGTAAATTGTCTGATCAAAAACGCTGCAGCTGTCCAGAATCTAAAATTTACTAATCAAATACAGTAATTGAAAACTGTTGGATACTTCAATCGTCAAGTTTGAAGAATTGGTCTGAACCTTTAATTACATTGCAATATACTGTATAATTATACTTTTGCTATTTACTGTACTATAACTATACTATTATAGTAATACAAATTGTATCATACAAGAACTTCGGGTGCAAATATTGGCTTAATCATTGTAATTTTACTTATGATGAAATTATGAATAGAAAAATGAACAAGTTTCATGGATCTGGATTGTTGGTTTCAGGTTTTAACACTTATAAATGTAGTTAAACGTCATCTGCAACTTGAATTTGATTGTTGAAAAGATATTTATTTTATTGGTTAACCGTTTAGATGAGTTAATTACTTGCTTATTATAAGTTGCTTTGGAGCACTTTTCAGCAAAATGAGTTCATTAATGTCATTTGTTTTGATTATTTTGTCAGCTTTCTTTGGAGAAGACAATATTGACCAAAAGCAACTAACTGAACCACTCCAAAAGTACAATCATTTATGTGGAGTCAGCCTAGAATGGCCAAACGGGAATGATCGTATCGTTGGTGGAAGAATCGCTCTTGATGGTGAATTCCCATGGCAAGTGTCAATTCGTCGTCAATCACCGATTCGAGGAGATTTTGTGCACATTTGTGGTGGATCAATCATTTCAGATCAATGGGTATTAACAGCAGCTCATTGTGTTAAAGGGTAAGAAATTAACCTTGATTTATTCAACAAGTAGATTGCCATTTCAGCATTTAACTATTCATTCATTTATACATAAACTGACGAGTTTATATTATAAGAGATAAATCAATGAATCAAGTGATTAAATGCTTACATCCATTGAAACTTTAGATACTTTAACTTGCTTTTGACTTATTCAGCAGAAATTTATCTTTTATAAATATAATCTTTTTTCCCTCTTCATTAACAGAGTTTACGAATCAAATTTTCTGGTTGTTGCCAATGCAAGCAAATTGTCTGATTCAATCGAACGGAATTTAAGTCACCGGATATCAAAGATCATTGTCCATCCAAATTATGATGAAGAAACAAATGCCAATGACATCAGCTTGATCAAATTGGAAACCAAACTGGACTTAGGAAAGTCTTATGGTCATATGGTACCAGTTTGTTTACCCAAACCATTCAATGGCCAAGGACAGTTTAACAATAAGGATTCAATTAATTTTGTTACCGTTTCTGGTTGGGGATCAACTGATGAAGACGGTTCAAATTCAATAAACCTTTTAGCAACTGAAGTGGCCATGGTTGAAATGGAAAGCTGTAATTCAACTTACAGGGGAAACATTCCTAAAGGTTTCATCTGTGCTGGTTTATTTGAAGGAGGAAAAGATTCATGCCAAGGTGATTCGGGAGGACCTATGATTTATCGTGATTCAAACAACCGTGCCCATCAAATTGGTATTGTTTCTTGGGGCGAAGGATGTGGACGCAAAGGAATACCCGGTGTTTATGTTGATGTCAACTATTATGTGGATTGGATCAACACGGTAGTCAAAAGTAAAGCTTAAACAGTTTTGGCATACGAATAAAAAAAACAAAATTAACAATAAATTGAAAGCATCAAATTAATAGTATAAACGCTATTTTAATTTAAATAGTTTACTGTATTCAAGTTTTCAACTGTGAAGGTTTCATTTGTCTTTGCTTTTGAGTCCTTTCTAATTTTTCAGCTTGCTTAGCTTTTTGCTTAGCTGATTGACTTAACTTTTCAACATTAGAGATTTTCTTGGCATTTTTCCTAGCAGCAATTATTTTTTGTTTCTTCTTTTTCAATCTTCTGTCATGTTTACGATCAGTCGTGTCTCTTTCGGTAGCACCTTTGACCGGTCTTTTAGGCTTTTCAAGAACCTCTTCGGGTGCCAGGAGATTCGCTTCACTAACGGCTACTGGAATAGTGTCTTCTGCTGAAACTGCAGGTAAGTTATTTACAATTTTCACTTCTGGTTCAGGAGGTTTAGGTGTGAAGTGGAAACTGGATAGTGAATCCAATTGTAGGAAGATCGCGCTCATCATTTTACGAATTTCTTTGTGCGTTTCATTTTCTTCTTCGACCTTATCTTGTTGTGTCCTTTGAAGATAATCTTTCTCGTAAACTTCTGCAAGGCCAACTTTACTTTTCTCCTGATCAAGAATCAATCGTCTTTTATATTCAAACGGCTGTTCTGCGGGTTTAATTTTACGTTCCACATCATCCCATATACCATCTTTAATCCTTTGCTTGATTAAATCTTCCAATTTAAGAGCAACCTGTTCGTCAATTATCGGAGCTGGACGAGCTATAAAGTCGTATTGAAGATGATCTTCCAATAAACTGTTTGCAGGCCTCTTGTCAGCAGTAACTTCACCAATTAATTTCCATGGCTTTGACTTTAGATTTTCTTCCTCTAATTTCGTTATTTTTTCATCCATCTGCAGCTGTTCTTGTTCAAAAGTCGATAACATTTTTCCAACAAACTTTTCCCTTGGTCCTAATAATTTTTTAAGTTCTTCCTCTTCATCTTCTCCGGAGCTTGCTGGTTCTAAAATATCGAAGTCATCATCTTGCGGAATATCAATTTTGACAGTTTTGGTCAACTTTTTAGCTAAACTTGATAAATTACTGACATCTTTATCAATAATCTTCATGAAAGTATGATTGTGTTTCTCTAACTGAGCCCAAATTTGTTCCTCATCAAATCCTTCGGTGACTAAATCTTTAATACCAGGAACACCAGAGTTAAGTTTGAACAATTCGAATAGCTTTAACGTAAGATCACGTAAATCATTTTCGATTTTCTTATTCGGCCTGAAATATAAGACAAAAATGAATAAAAAAATGGTCAAGTTAATAAACTAATGGTTACGGACACTATGTAAAAATGAGCACAAAAGGTATAGAGTGAGGAGAAAAATCTTACCTAAGGAAAGATGTCAAATCCGAAACACTTTTATTGAACAATCCAAATATTTGTTGAGAATCAAACTTGATTTGATCAGCCATAGTGAAATTTGATAATAATAGAAATTAAAACACAAAACAATTAAATTTAAACAACACGACAAAAAGTGAATTTCTCATAACCAAAACAAAACAACATGTGCTTAGTCATGTGACTACATTTGCAAGCTGGAGTAACTAGGGTAACGAGAAAATTTCTGAAAATAAGTTAATTCCCATTTGGTTGATTTTATGTTAACAATAATTTAATTTCACATCATTTAACTTTTAATTATATTGTTCAACTTAAATATTAAAGTCTCAACTCAAATTTGAAACATTTTTCATGGCCTAAAAGGGCTAAGTTTTAACTATACTCTTCGTTGGTGAGTCTGTTTACGTTTTTCAGCCTGTTACTATAGTTCAGTTTTTCTGCGAACAATCGTGACAATGAGTGATTCATCGAGCGAATCAGAAGACGAAATTGTTTCTTATAAAATTCATATGTGGGATCTGAACCAATGCGACCCAAAAAGATGTACCGGTCGTAAATTGCAACGACACAATTTGATGAAAACTCTGAGGTTAGGGCAAAAATTTGGTGGCATCATATTGAGCCCTATGGCGACCAAAAGTGTCTCACCCGAGGACAAAGAAATTATTGAGCAACATGGCATTGCAGTTGTTGATTGCTCTTGGGCTAAGCTCGAAGAGACTCCATTTCATCGGATGAAAGGACCAAATATGAGACTGTTGCCCTATCTTGTTGCAGCAAATCCAGTCAATTATGGAAAACCATGCGAACTATCTTGTGTCGAAGCTATAGCAGCCTGTTTTAAGATTGTTGGCCTGGATAAAGCCGCTTCTTATTATTTAGGGAAATTTAAGTGGGGTCATAGTTTTTTAACGTTAAACGACGAGATCTTCGACATGTACAAAGACTGTAAAAATTCGAAAGATGTTGTCGATGCGCAAAAAATTTACCTGTTGAAAATTCGTGAAGAAGCCGAGAAATCTTCTTCATCCTCCTCTTCTTCGGATGAATCAGATTCAGAATCTGAATCGGAAACCAATCCTGAGACTCAGTTGACCGAATCTACTGTCAAACTTGATTTGAATGCGTGAATTCAACACATTTTGCAATTCATAAACAAATAAATGAAAATATTTTCAACTTGAAATCTTTAATCTGCAATTTTATCTAATATATATAATTTGAACCATTTTAGGATGCGAATGGGCTAGCTTTGATGAAATGTCCCCACTTGAAATGGTTCAAACGGTTGCAAATCCATTCTCCATCGACACCTTTTGTGTACTCCCGAATAAATCTGCAATTTGAGTAGAAATTGAATTAGTTAAATTATGCAAGTGCTGTGGCTTTCACTTTTTGCAAATAAGTTTCGTATGATAACATATGCACGCTTGCTTTTTTTAGCATTTTTTAAATTTTGGGGATAATTAACCAAAGAATAAGAGACTAAAAGAGTTATTTCAAATAAGTAGCAATTGCAAAAGATAGTTGCGGACTAGAGATAGAGATAAATCAATATGGCCATACCTGTAATTGCAAAACGTCATGTCTGGGTCTGGCATGAAGAATGAACGTTTTTCTGGGTTGGCCATCTTTTCTTGATGATCCCTGATTACGTGAAAGATTACAGTAAATTCTATGAACTTTCTGTCCGCTGAAACATAAAAAATTTCGTTAATTTAGCACTTTTAAGATCAAGCATAAAAACACTACCTTCTTCTATAGTTTTGATTTCTTTAGCGAGCCAGAAAACGACATCCTGCTCTTCGACTTTCAGGTCAGCCAATTGTGTAGGATTAAATTTAACAAGATTTTCTTTAACAACCTCTAATGCCTGGAGAGCATAGAAAAGGGAAATTGTTAAATGCATTCAACAGAGAACATAGACAAAAATACCTTAGGAGCGATTAACCCTTCAAGCGTATTGGTATCTGCTCGTGACAAGTTATCAGAAATCACAAAAAGAGCCTGAAAAGCAAACGAGAGATAAATTTAAAATAAATATAAAATACTTTTCTTGTTAAAATTCAAGATTATTGTAGACATTAACCTGTTTTGCACCATCCAAAACAACTTGATGTGAAAATGAAGGATCATAAAAAGGCCTTATGACGAAAAGTACAGAAAAAATGTTGCGGAGCGCTAGAAAAGGACCTGGAGTAGTGATTGGGTCCACAAAATCCATCAATAATGGGGGAAGATTTTGAGTCAACTTTTCAAATTCATCACCCAAAGGATTCTCCGAACCGCCATCTCCAGATTTAGATTGTCCAGAGAAATGCAACACATTTGTTTGCCAGGTTTGATTAGCAGGTGAAATACATTTGAGATACAGGGACAACAATTTTATCCTTGTCAGATCAGCATAAAAACGAAAAAATGATTTAGATAACTGATGAAAATGATTGACTAGATTATCGGTCAAACAGAAAGTAACACTTTTGCGAGGCGCTTGATAAGATGATGCGAATCCAAGTCTGGAAGGATCATTTCCATTTTTCAGTGTTGCATTCTTACACAGAAAGGTGTGAGTGAATCTCTGATAGCTAGGTGATAGGGGGTTTTCGATGAATAGGATATTTCGGAACAATTTCGGGTGGAATAATAAAGCTCTCATGATTAAACGTTTCTTGTAAAATGTAAACAACTTAAAACAGTGTTTTGAAAACACTTTTTGGTTAGTTCTCAATATCAATAATAGAGGAAACTACTAGCCAAAAAATTCCTCTTACACAGCAAGCTATTAACAGAAAACTTGAGTTTCTTTTAATCCGTAAAAGCTAAGTCTGGGTCAGTTTGCTAAGCAAACCTTGCTTGCTTTTTAATCTCGAATGATAAGCTTAAGTCCAGAGATTAACTTTCTAAAATGGTCAAAATCTGTTGATTTCGTATTGAAATCGTTAACAATTTTCAAAAACTGTGACATCTGCGCAGCCTTTAGTTATTTCATTAGATGGCGCTCCAAAGTTGTTATTTGAGTCAAATGATTTGACCAAAATTCAATGTAAATGTAAACAATCCAATAAACAAATCATTGATGTTTTAAACCATGGATGGATTGGTTCGACTGATTACATTTCCTTTTCAATTTATTTATGAAACATTACTCAGTGCTCTCCGCTTAGCCTGGAATTTGGTCCGTAGAAGGAGTAAGTATCCCCTACGCCAACTACAATAATCCTTCTATTCTTGTGAATCAATTTTTTGCGTATCCCAATTCTCCTATTTTTGTTCTCATTTTTTTTCTCTTTTTTCTTTCAGTTGATATCGTTGATCCATTAGGCGATACTTTGAAGTTTATATCTGATTTTGAGTCGGTATATGGTACAGAACATCCTGTTTTTTATAGAGGAACTTATGAGCAAGGTAGGCTGTTGAATTGTTGCTAGTTTTTGATTGTGGATAGATTTACTAATTTTTTATTCTTTTCAGCTCTGAGTGATGCGAAGAAGGAATTGAAATTTCTACTGATTTATCTTCATAGCGAACATCACCGAGATACTCACGATTTTTGCACTAACGTTCTATCTCATCAATTGGTAATAAACTATATCAACCGTAATAAACTTCTATTTTGGGGCTGTTCTGTCGATTCAAGAGAAGGATATCGGGTTTCTGTCTTGTTGCGAGCCTCGACTACGCCTTTCCTCGCTCTTTTTGCTTTAAAAGACAATCGAATGAACGTTGTGCGAACTTTTTTTGGACCAACATCAGTTGAAAGACTCTTAAGTAATATTCAGCAAGCAATCGAAGAAAACGAAGGTTCCCTAATTGCTGCTAGATTGGAACGCCAAGAAAGAACCATGAATCAACGTTTGAGAGAAGAACAAGATGTGGCCTATATGGAATCACTTCGTGCTGATCAGGAGAAAGATCGCAAAAAACAAGAAGAAAAAGTTAAAAAAGAGAACGAGGAACGGGAACGTAAGCAGAAAGAGTTGGAAGAAGTCCAACAAAGAGAGCTCTTATTGAACTTAAAAGTTAGCCTAGCTACTGAGATCCCCAATGAACCGCCTGCAGATGACCCCGAATCCATCAGGATTGTTATAAAATTACCAAATGGAACTCGTTTAGAACGGCGATTTAGAAAATCGGACCCCTTAAAATATTTATACTATTTCGTGTTTTGTAATGAACAAAGCCCACTGAAATTTCAAATCACTACGAATTTCCCTAGAAAAGAACTGCCTGGAAGTCACCCCACTCTTGATAATAAAGAAAACTGTTCTTTAACTTTTGATAGCGCAGGACTTGGAAAGTCACAAGTTTTTTTTGTACATGACTTAGAAGCTTAAATTTCCGATATCTTTGTTATTAACAAAATTACCATTTACTCTGGAAATAAATTTTTTGCAAAATTACCAATAAATGCTTATTAACATGTAAAGTCCGTCTAAACAATTTATTATAAAAACCAAGAAGTATATTTTTCAATATAAAAAGCGATTGTAAGATAATAATGAAGAAAAGTTGCAATGATAAGTTTTTGACCTCTTTTACTTAATAATAAATTGTTATAAGTGAGTGTACAAGTCGCTGGCTTGAATCAAACGGATGAACAAAAATGGTTTCAAATTAAAAAAGTTCAAAAAAGATTATATTTTATTTAAAAATACATATTATACTGTTTTGTGGTTGATAATTACGGGCCATATCGTAGCCATCCATTCTTGTAGAAAAAAGAAGTTAATTTTCGTAGAACATTTTCATCAATATTCTCCAATGTTGAACGATATTTACCTTTCTCTCGTTCCCTAAGGTGCTCTTTTATAATAAGGGTTTTGAGATTGATGTATTGATGGGGTGAGAGGCGTAGGACTGTACAAAGTTTTCTTTCTTTTTCTGAAAGTAACTCACAACCTGATCGAAGTGTAATACTTGTTTTTTCTAATAGAGCTTTGTCACTTTCAGGTGATGACGAGTTTAGGGTATTTTTCATCTTTACATGATTATGACGGTGACTTTCTTTTCTTTCTTTTCGACCTGAATGGTCCAAGATGTAAACTTGCAAGCCTTTTGATGTGATTGCTTGTTGCTTTGACATTTTTGGTTCCGATCTTATAATTAAACTTTTCGCTTCGCCTCCGGTAATTTCGTTTAATTTTTGTCCTAGGGATGCTGCCTTGCGAGCGAAGCCAGTATTTTTTCCGGTAACCTGAAAACTAAAGAACATTAAATTTTCTCGATTCATAAAAGTGGGAAAAGAATTGGAAAGAAAAGTGATTCATTTTTTGAATAACTTACCTCGTAATTTTTACTATCTTTTCTTTCTTCTTTGTTCATTTTACTTGAAATAGCTGGCAGTGCTTTTGTGTAGCTGATCCGTCGAGTACGACGAAGGCGATTCAGATCTTTCACCCGTAAGATGAGTTCTCGCTCTTTAATCAGATTTGTAACTAATTCATCTAATTGTTCACGATTTAAAAATTGATAAAATGATTTTAAGCCTTCACGGAGTTTTTTCTCTTTCATGGTAGCTCCTGAAGATTGCACTTTTTTATTGTTCCGGTGCAGTAATGTTTTAGCATTCTGTGGGCTTGAGGGTGGCTCTTCTTTCACTATAGTTTTGACTTCTCGAGGTTTTGCTTCATCGTTGATGGTTTCCCGGCCTAGTTTTTCGTTTTCTTCCTCCAAATGTTTGAAAAAAACATTAACTAATTCATATTGACGAACAATATATTTTCTCCTTAATCTTTCTGCTAAACGACGATTGTAGATGTCAATGTACGCTAGATTCATATCTCTATCCAAATCATCTTCATCTTTGATGTTCATGGTAAGAGCAGCAACCAGCGATTCAACTTCATTATCATATTCTCTTTCGAAGTCATCTCGATTTGCCATATATCCCAGTTGTTGCTGTTGAGCCGGAGTTAAATGATTGATGGGTGGTAAAGATTGGATTAAAATGTTGGACAAAGGTCCCTCAATATTTCCATTGGACGTATGATCTACCACAGTATTCACTTTAGATTTAATAGAGTCCCATGTCAATTTACCAAGATTACCTTTAATGTAACATTCTACGAAGTGTCTCTTAATCTCTTCCGTTGTTTTATCAGGTATATAAAGTGAGATGTCCCCCCAATTTCCAAAGCTGTACAACTCAACAGCTTCCAATAATGCAACCTCTTCACTGGCTTTCCATTCAGGATGAAGTAAAGGAAACGATAAGTTTTCTAGATCACGAGAATCACTGAATGATAAAATAAAATAAAAATTAATATTATCGATAAAAGCAAAAAAACAAGTCAAGAGAAGTAAGATAAAGATGGAAAATGAAGACAATGAGTATTCATTTGGAGAATAGCAAAAACAAAAGAAAACAACTCACCAATAACTTGAATCCATGTTTCACTAAATAATTTAATTGAACAAAATAAATGTACCACCCTAGAATCATTGAAAACTCATACTGACAGTTAAAAATTGAATTATGTTTCATGAAATAAATTAATTTGAATGAATTACAAATAAATACAAATGTGTAAACAGAAAATAATTACAATTTGTCAACTGTGAGTCAGTTAGTTGACACTAGAAGCTTAGCTATAGATGAGATTCAAGGGTAGTACGACGAATCAAGCTATAGATGGCAGCTCTAACAGAATGGATCGTGGCGTCTGATTGGTTGATGCTTGAGAGATAACTCAGGAAATAGTAACTGCTCTTCGTTTAACTTCATGCGGTGCTAGGCTTTTTGAATTTTTATTTTAATATCGGAGTTTTATGATTAAATTTACATTGTAATTTATTAGTATAAAGTCTGTACAGCTCTAAACTACTATTGACTGGAAGTGAAAGTTTAATATTGGTGAGAATTTTGTTTTTCTTGTGATCTGGGATTGCACAGGTTCATTTCGGTTAAATAATTTGAATTTTTATTTCCTTCTTTTACCAGCCAAAGCATGACTTCTGTGGATCCTTTGGTCAGCCTTATTCCTCAGAATGATCTTGACTTGATACCGGTGCACCTTCGAGAAAATCTTGCTGGAATAATTCGCATGAAAGATTATCAGATTCATTCTTCAAATGAGAAATGTGAACAGCTGCAAGCCGACTTGCGGGATAGACAAAGGGAACTCAATGGATATCGAGTTAAACATCAAATGGCCGAAGAATTTTCACTCAAAATGAGGGAACAATTGAGAAATGTCGAGGAGACTTTGCAAAAAGCTCGACGAGACTATTATGACATTGTTATCGGTAAGTTTACTTTTCCTCTCCTGCGTCACCACACATGACTAATATTTATTCTGTTTCTTTTGCAGAGAAAGAAAGTTTACTCCATGAATTAGAAATATCCAAACAGAATACTAGGAGGTTTCTAGATGAGCAGAAGAATAGTGAATTCTTGGTTAAAAGTAAATCTATGGCCATTGTTGCATTACAGAAAGAAGTTGAAGAGCTTGGTAAAAAACTAGAATCTGTTGCAGAAGACAAAAAAGAATCATCTCTACAAGCAGAAAAGGTTGAAATCCAAGAAATGTCGTTGAAACATCAAATGAACAGGATCGCCAATGAAAGAGAATTTTATCAAAAGCAGGTCGATACTTTAAATCAGGAAATTAGCAATCTAACTGTTGAGTTAGCAACTTTCCGTAAAGAAAAAACGATGCAGATTTTAGAAATGCAATCACGAATTGACGAAGACACTGATATGATAAATAAGCTACAAGAAGAACTGAATAGCTTGAAAGAGCTGTCAGATAAAAAAGATGAACACATCGATTCATTGGCGCGTAGAATAAAAGAGATCAACGATGCTAGTGTCCAGTTTGAAATGCAATATCAGACTGAAATTGAAGAAATTAAAAGTTTAGCTCTTCACCATTCCGAAGCTTATGAGAAAGAAAAGAAAACCAATCAACAGTTGTTGGATACGATCGAGGAAATGCAAAAGCTCTTATTAGATGGTCAACAAGCTCAGCAAGACCTAGAGGAAACATTCACCAGAGCTACTATGGATTTCCAAAAAATTGTTAAATCCAAGGATGAAGTGATTAAGAATTTAGATGATGAAATAACCAAGTTAAAAGCACAGGCAGTTGCCAAGATCCAGGAGGATTTGGAAGAAGAGGTCGATCATTATTTCCCGACTGCATCTGCTACTCATAAAGTTTTTAAAAGTAACATGTCGCTATCACAAATTTATAACGAATATATCGTTTTACAAGACAAATTTGAAGAACAACAAATAGAAAACAATCGTCTTAAAGAACAACTTAACCGGTTAGTTGAAGAAGCTGAGCAAAAAACACCATTCATCCACCAAAAAGTTCAAGAAAATAGAAAAAGTTTACAAACCATCAAGGATCTCCAAATTCAATTAACCAAAGAAGCTAACGAAAAGGATGCGCTGATCGAAGAGAAAGAGAATCTCATCCAGATGAATAATTATCTAAATAGAGAGATTGCCAGACTTGAACAAACTTCTCAAGATCTAGCGCTTCAAGTGAGATCTCTTATCAAATCAGTTCATGAAGCCAAAGGTTATGAATTTGTTAACCATGATGATATTCCTGAAAGCGTTACCGAAGACAGTGCTGCAAACCGCATTATCACCAAGTATCTTATTACCTTCGAAGATATTGAGTCTCTTCAAGTCAATAATCAAAGACTCATTTCCTCTGTCCGTGATCTTGCTAATGATAATGAAAAATTAGCTAAACAATTAGAAGAAAAAGAAACCATCTCCCAAAAAGAATTGAATCAAGCATTCGAAGAGATTCAAAAACTCACTGAGGAAAGGCGGAAGCAAGCAGAAATGCTGGAAGAATTGATGCAAGCCAAGAGTGCATTAAAATCAATGGTAAACTCTGATGAATCCAATAGAAGATCTCCTGGTTTCACCTCTAAAGATTCTGCCCGAATGACTATGAATGACACACTTATCGAATTGAAAGACTCGTTAAGAAGAATTCAAGCGGAAGCCGAAGCAAGCAAAGCTGATTATCAGCAAAAGATGAAAGAACTCAATGATGATGTTAATCATTATCGACAAGAATTAGCCCTTATGCAAGCCGAGAAAGCTAAAATAGAAAGTGAAAGTGAATATCTTCAAGAGAAAATGAAACTTCTACAAGCCAACTTCGAACTTATTAAAAAGGAAAACACCAAATTAACAGAAAAGAATGTCAAACTTGCTCGGAAACTGTCGAAAAGTGAAGGTAACCTCAACATGGTCAAAAAAGAAATTTCTGATCTTAAACTGGATCGTGGTAAACTTGAAGCCAACATTCTTACGCTCCAGTCTGAACGGGATCTGTTGAGAAATAACGAAAAGCTTCTTACTCAAGAACGAGATGCATTGAATAAAGACTATCAAGAAAAAAGTAAACTGATCTCGACCTTGCAGAAAATTCAAGACAACTTCCAAAGACTCGAAAGTGAATCATCCAAAGGATTACACCTTCAGCTTGAAAAGCTTGAAAATGAAGCGAGTTTCTTCAAGAATAGACTTTTCGAAGAGGAGCAGAAGAATAAAATTTTAGTCCAATCACATTCTAAACAAATTAGCGATCTTAATCAGAAAATAGATGAAGAGCTGAAGAAAAATGCCGAATTAAGAGATACTATCGTGCTAAATCAAACTCGATTACATGTAGTGGAAAGTGAATTGAAAGTTTTGAAAAACCATGAAGAGCAAGCGAAGGCTAGATCAAAGGAAGAACTCCGAGATAACCCTGAACAAACAAAGAAGATACGAGATATAGAAGAAAAGCTTGCTAATTCAGAGACAAAGATAAAAGAACTTACGGATGAAAATGAACAGCTGAAGAATAAAGTCAACGAGAAAGAAGATAAGGTCAAGAAACTCGCTATGCAAGCCCGCCAAAGGATAGCTGCTTTAACAACACAAAAGAAAACATTAGAAGCTGAAAAGGAAGCACTTTCGAGGAGAATCAGTGAATTGGAAACCCAAGTTGCTCAGTCAGAATCACAGATCGCTCAAAATAAAAAGCGATTAGAAGAAGCAGAAAAATTAGCCAGAAGTGCCAGTAACCAAGCAAAAACCTTCAAAACCGAAAATGATAATCTTTCCAAAACTATTCAAGATCTCAGAGAGAAAAACGACCAATTAGAACAAAATTTAAAAAAGAATAATTTGAGATTCAAGAATCTTACTTCAGGAACTGCTATTAAATTGAATAGACAGTTGAAAGCAGGTGAAGAGATTGCATCTTCGGTTCATCAAGGGCAACAAGGGCTTAATTCCCAGTTGTCATCGACTTATCAACAAAGTACCTCAGTTGTTCCTTCAAGCGTTGGAACTTCATCTTATGTGCCAACTCCTTCATCATCATCATCGTCCTCAACATCATCAAGTTCTGCAGCTCTTATCAGACATCCCGTTTTACCTCAAAAACAAGAGCCTCCAACTCCTAAATCTACACCAAGAGCAAGCATTAGGCCACTGCCAGTTTCCAGGTTGCCTACCATTTCTAGATCGACTTCATCAACGACTGGTCCTGTAGCAGTTGTTGCTGTTCAACCTAACACCGAGGATTCCGCTCAACTTGTACCACAAGCTACAGTTGCTCCAACAGTAGTCGCTCCAACAGCAGCTGCATCATCTACCGAACCAATCATGTCTTCATCAACATCAACTACATTGTCATCAACCACTTTGTCTTCAGCTAACTCTTCAACAATGCCTTCTGGTAACCATCCAATCACCTCTAGTGAAGCAACACCACAAACCCGTCCTACAGAAGTTACTCCATCAACAAGAGACAATCAAAGCTCAGAACTCAGAATAACTTCTAGCAATGCTAATCAAGAACCATCAGTGACGACCAGTGATGAATCGGGTGAAACTTCACGTCAAGGTTTAAAAAGGCAACGAGAATCACCATCAACATCAAGACCGCAATTGCAAGAAGATGATAATCCTAAAAAAGTGCGATTAGATGAAGCTCCTGATCAAGCTCCTGATCAAGAAATCATGTTTGATACTGAACAAGACGTTTCAACTCACGAACATGACGATGAATCAAAGGAAAGTGAAGTAAATGAATCAAGTCCAGATCAACAACCTGCTTCAGGTTCACAAGAGATCCAGAATCACGAACATGATCAGAATCCGATTTCTGGTGATTCCTGTGAAAGCGAAGAAGAAAACGAAGAAGAAGAAGATGATGAGGAAGAATATGGAAAAGAAAACGAGGAAGAAGAAAACGAAGAAGAAGTCGAAGAAGAGACCGAAGAAGTAGCCGAGGAGGAAGAAGCTGAGGAAGAAGCCGAAGAAGAATTGGCTGAAGAAGAAGAGGAAGAAGAAGAAGAAGAGGAGGAAGAAGAAGAGGAAGAAGAGGAGGAAGAAGAAGAAGAAGAGCAAGAGGATGAAGATGTTGAAGAAGATGGCGATGAAGACGATGTTACCATTATTCAACCATAATTAAAGATAACCATAGGAATGTAAATGTTATATCCAAATCACTTGGCTGGAATCAAATTTTGAAGTTACTTGATTGAAATAAAGTTGCTTCATTTTCCATTTCATTGATTGTTTGTTCAAATAATCAATCTATTTTTGTAACCAGTGATCATATTTTTGATCCACTCATAATCGTAACCTTGTCGGTCAGTTTGTTATTATTTATGTGATGTTGATTGATGTTAATCAAGTTTAATTGTTTGAACGGTATCAATGTCTCAAGGACAAAACCATATGATAACAGTATATTTTGCTATTATCAAGGATATAATTACAAAGGTAGTTACACTCAGTGTAATTTGTACAAGCTTAACAAATTTTGGTTACACATAATTACAAGAAAGGTTATCAATTCATCCTTTGAGTTCACTCTTGGCCCACATAAATGCCTAAAACCATTTAAAGTGAAATAAATTCAAATTACTCTCATTTTTCATTGTCAGATTCAAATTTTCAATTTCCAGTACTCAATGAAACTTATCCTTTTATAAACAATTAAGCTGTTAAACGACATCAATCATCAAACAACAATCATATTTACAAAATTAACTGCTTAACTGTAACTGTCTATTTCGCCTTTTAATTGTCAATTTTTCCCTTCTACTTCCCAAATAGTTGATTTTTCAAATTGTGTCACTCAATAGTTTGCGACATTGATTCCTTACCACCAATGTTTACCTTGGTCATTTGATAGTCAGTTTTAGACCCAAAAACAAAATTATAGTATTCAGTTACAATTCAAACTATTGGGATAGAATCAAATTAGTTCAATGTTTTAGATCTCACCTGAATCCAAACAAAAAATTGAGGGTCAATCAATTGTATTAATTGATATTTAGTTTCCACAATTTTTTTGCTCTTTTTGTTACATGTTAACCAAATTAAGGTTAAACCATTTTTAAATCTTAATTGTGATGAAAAGTAATGTTGAAACAATCAAGTGATATAAAAATAGTACAATAAAGATGTAAAAAGCATCTTAATCTGTAAATTGGTCAAGGATAAATTGATGTAAAATATTGAAATAGGATAAGGTTGAAAAATTGTCTTTTGATTGTTTCTATTTTGTTAGCCATTATATTTACAAAGATGGTGATAATTAATATTCAATCATAAAACAATTGCTATTGCTAATTAAGCCTTACAAGTGTTTCTCAATAATTGTTATTGTAACCATTGAAGATGTTGATGAAGCGCGCAATTAACAAGCTTGTTCTCAGCCAATGTGATTAATAATTAGTCCAAGGATGATCATTGTTGATATCAATGGTAATACAACAAGCACAAAAACAGGGTTAAAACAATACAAGCAATCAAATGTCACTATCAAAGAAATAGATTAGTTTAACTAAATAAATTAGTTGATGATTTGTTAACTTGTCAAGATGAGAATCATGAAAAACTTAAATTGTACTCAAAATTGGATTACCAGATGAACAATTTAATGAACAAAAAGACCACCAAAATCAGTGAAATTGAAATTGAACGTGAAAACAAAAGACAAAGGTAAAGTTAATCAAATAAAATTACCTTTTCTTTAAACCATTTTATATATAAATATATATTTTCCCCTCTTTTTGTTTCTTGGCGTAAATGTTTCAATTCAAGGTTTAGCTATTAACAGTTAACAATTGATGGTTAATTATCAATTAATTGCTAGCTCAAGCGAAATATACATAAAACTAAAAACATGTAAAAAACATATGAAAACATACATTAGCTGTGAAGGTAATCAAGATGATGATTAATCTGCCGCTTATTGCCTTCTCATTCTGGTATTGGGTTGATGGGAAGAATCATAATTTAACTGGTTAAATCTAATAGCTATTGGTGGGTAATCAAGTTAACCATGATTAAGCTCAGTAACAGGGAAAGGAAAGGTTAAGATAAAAAAAAGCTAAAATTGTAAAGACAATGTTAACCTTTTGAAATAGCAACATTATTAAACAATTACCTTCATAGTTTTGTTTAAATTAACAGTAAATTAGGTCATTCGCACTCAACTGATCAATGAACAAATTTAATGAACAACAATAAATGCTGAAGATAATCAAATAAAGTGAAAAACCGGAAGATAATTCAAATCACAAGGCAATACATAAACCAATGGTAAAACAAATGTCTTAACCATGTCTTGATCCGACAACCTGTTTAAGGCAAAATACATATTAAAACAATTCAATAATGGATCGGCAAGGAATACAACAATTAGAATTGACATTTGCTTCATTACAATTTGAAGGATAAATGACAATAATTTCTGGTCAAATTGAACAATCTAATGGTTTAACCATGTTTAAATGTTAAATACTGATCTTCAGGTTTGTATGGACTTGAAACAATAAAAAGCCCAATGACTATTTTAGTGATATTTGAATGTATTAATGTAATACAATAATGTTTATTAACCTTGATCTTTAAACTATCCAATTAAATATCAATCAATTGGTAAATATCAAATAAGATTATTGATTTGGCCCAGCAAAGTGTCAACCTTGAGATTGAATTTGAAGAGGTTAATTATGATCGAAATGATTATAATGAAATCAACTTGAAAAGCGGCTGGAAAAAGCCCAGTAAATTGTGATTTTTGGTAGATTAAATTGTCTACAATCTAAAGGGCAATTATGAATATATTTGGTTTTACAGCAAAAAAAAAGTAAGGAAACTTTTGCATATAAAATAAAAGGTAAACCTTGAATTGATAATTGAATTAAGTAAAGCCAAACTAAAGTAAAGCTTGCATTTGATTGCTATTTAACTTGTTCATCATTATTTGATTGTGAATGTTTTGTTTGATTCATTGAAAAGTGTCAAGATCATTTGATTATCATTTTAATACAAGGTTTTAATGGATTTAATGATTTCCGGATTGCTTTTACCTTGATTTTCAAGTGAAACAAACTGAACACAAAAAAAAACGGATAAAATCTATTAAATGTACAATAAAAGTAGTGAAATGAGTTGAACGAGAAGTAGCCTTTTCTTACCCATTTAATATCATTTTATTTGCCATTTTTTTGTTGTTTTTTATTGATTTCAATTAAAGATGAAGATTATGAGATGATGGAAATTGAAAAGTTGAAATAAAAATCTGAAAGATTAATCTAAATGATGGTAGAATGACCAATTTGCTCGTTGATTGAGTCGTTAATGTTTTCACTTTCAATTGATTTGTATGGCGTTAATGTTTCATGTTTGATTAACTGTTTAAAGTTGGAACAATTTGTAAATTAAATTCAAATGTGTTCTTGATCTAGATGGATCAACCTTTCTTAGTTATCCACTTTTTTTGTATCCATCCATCCATGTATCCATTTTATGAACACCATTTACATTATTGAGATTGTAATTATCATCATTGACCTAAAAATTTATTTAGATAAAAAAAGTAAAAGAAAAGGCAAACTGTTGTGTGTTTAGTCCTTTGTAAGTTGATGATGGTGATGATGATTAGATTGGCAATGATTTGTCCTCCATGGGCTCGGGTTGATTAAACCTTGTTAATGTGTTTCAGTGTACAATTTGCTTCTTTGGTTAGTCTCATTCAATAGCATTCAAAAAAGAGTTTAGAAAAGAACCAAATTTTAAGTTCAATTGGCGTTGAAAGGGAATTGGAAATTAGTCTCAACAGGATTGAACTTAAAGGCAGATATTTGAATAGATACCAGGAGACAACCCAAATTTGAAATTCAATTGCAACCAGAAAGTGAAGAGACAATATCAGTGGCTTTTTATTGGGAAATAAAGAGTAATCTAAATGGCGAAACTGAGACTTGTTTCTCTCTTCTGGTTTCAACATATTACTGGTTGTTTCAGATGTTTATCATGGTAAATCACGTGATATTATCTGAGACATGATTTAGTTGTTAATTATGTTCAAGTAAAAACAAGAAACTGGCAATGAACTGTAATCTTGGTTGGAAGAAAGTTCATTGACTTGAATCCCTTTCTAATTTAGATGTTTCTCTTGCTTTCATTTCTCATCACATCTAAACACAATTATAACCAATTGGAAGAGGATTGTAAAAGTAAAATTGGAACATTGATTGTCCTAGATCAACAGATTGTACCATTAAAATTTAAGCCAGCAATAGGAAGACAGACAGACAGAGAGAGAAAGAGATGGCGAGAGATAGAGCAAGATACTCTGACAAATGTTCATCTTGATGATGAGAAGCATTTTTGTTTACATTGAATGACAATAATCAGGTAAGATATCATTTTGTTTTTTGTATCAAATTTGTTGAAGGCAAAAAACGAGGATTTACATGACCTCAAATGAATTTCAGCTTCCGCATTTAATTTGTAAGAGGAGAGAAAGATGAAGTTGATTCACATTAAATGAGATTTAGGACGAGTGAGAGTGATGATGATGATGAAGGAGGGACTGATGATCATGTATTTACATGTGATTTTGTTTCCTAGATTTCCAATTTAATTAGACCAAGGAATGAAAGTTCAATTCTCAATCAGCTCAATCATTTGTTTCCTTGATTCTCTACTTTTTATGTTTCTCTCTCTTCTCTCTCATTAAGAGCACTTTTCATAATCATCATTACAAATGATCAACAATCAACACCAACAATTATTAACATGTTTTCAGTTCATCATCAACAACAACACCAGAAACATCAAGATTATCATCATTGAATAGATTAATCATTGAGAGTGAAATTGTGTTACAGGGTCAGTGAATAAAAAAAAAGTTAAGGTAAAATAAGTGTCAATCTTAATCCTTCAACAGTTGTGGTGTTATCCTGATTACAGCTGTGAGCTTTTGTCCACAATCAATCAACATTTCACCTTTTCTTAACTTTTTTCATGTTCTTCTCCTTAACAATTGTAATTGGTAACACGTTTAGTAAATACTTGGATAATTAGATTAATTTAGGGCAACAATTAACAGAGTTTAATTTTGGTTTTCTAGTTTCTATTGCTTTTTTCTGGTTGGGTTTAACTGATATCTCTCTGGTTTGCAAATTCAGGCTCAACAGACATAATAAGAGTCATTAAAAGTTTAATTATTAATAGTTTGCCTGATTATGTGTGTTGGTTAATTATTGGTATATTGCTGTTGTTTGTGTTTATTTTTACTCAACGCAATTGGATTCATTGACCCACAATCTGGTACCAAAATGATTGATAATTAACGCTGATAAACGCAAGATGATACTTTGTTTACATTTGGATTATTTTCAATTATGGGAATGGCACCATTCAAGATTTGCTTCCATGTGTGTCTGTAATCATTATTTATTTACAGCAAATTGATTGTTGACAATCTTTAAATCAACAGCAATTTAAAGAGTGAGAGGGAATAAACAAAATTACGAGCTCAATTTCACGAGGAAATAAATATTATTACCGCAAAAAAAATTGGTTCAACATATACACAGAGTTATTTAACAAAAAGAAAACCTTTCAGAGGTAGAATATGAGATAGATATGGAGAAAGATGATGTTGGCAAGGTGAAAGGTTATGGGATAAGAGTAAAGATCTTTACAACAAATTAATTTGTTTTGATTTCAATTTGATTGATTAAAGATCCTTTACAAGTTTATTTTTTTTCTTTCTTTTTGTGGTGGTTCCAGGGTTTTAATTGTGTATGTGTGTGTGTGCATGATGAGTGAGCATAGTGTGTTGATTTGTGATCATTTTTTCAGTAAATATCTTTGTATCATGACAATAATGATGATGATGATGAACACGATGATAAGAAATGTTGACAATTTCTTCTCTAAATCAGCCATCCATTCAAATCATGATATTGACCATTTTTACATTTGTATTAATTACAAATAAAGAAGATCCCGTTTACGACTTAAATCCAATGGAGGTGGCATCGATGTGAAATTATTATGGGGTGGCGATGAAGAGGATGATGATGATGACGATGACAGGGATGAAGACAACGACGATGTTGATGAGCTTAAATTGTGATGTCTACCGTGTTGCTGTAAATAATGATGACTTAAATCACCAACATATCGAGGTGCTTGCTCCAAGACTTTAACCAATGTTGAATGTGTTGATGCCAATGAATCGCAATTACTTGTTGGTGAAGTAAGACAAGATGAAGAAGCTGACGATAAAGATGATGATGTTGATGTCGGTGATACTAGACTATTACATAAACTATTACTAGAACTATTAACATTACCATTATTATTATTGTTATTATTGTTAATATTATTACTATTTAAAGGTGATGGAGCAAGGGAATTAATACAGATTGATGTACTGCTTGAAGGTGGTTCACAATCTCGAGATGCTTTTGTCGCTCTAAACTTTTTATGGTGTCGATATGCTTCATCCATAAGCATATTTGTATTAATTAATGGTGGAGCCTGCAATGCACGTTTTAACATTGGCATATCATCAATTGATTCTTGTTTTTCTGAAACAGACTCAGAATCTGATACAATATCTTTAACCTTGTCATCGCAAGCAGATCGGGGACTAGAACAGACGGATGTCGTTGGTGTACTTCCATTACATTGTTCTTTACCACTTTCAATACCAGAATCAGTTGGTGAATCGACTCGACGAATCTTTGAATATAATTCATTATTATTATTGTTGTTGTTATTTCCATTATTACCATTTGAATAATCCTTTGTTTTTGAAATATAATAATTGTCCTGCAAATGGTAATTTTGGTGCGAATGATGAGAATCATCATAACGATTATGTGGATATTCGTGATTTTTATTGTTAGTGTTATTGTTTCGAGATGTTGAACTGTTCGCGGTTTGAAGTAATCTTTGACTTAGAATGAAATTATTTTGATGATGGTGATAATCAGTATTTAACTTATTTAATCCATTGGCACTTGATACTGATCTGGTATTTATCAAATTATCATTGGTAGATGAAACATTTTGAACTCCGTTGACTGATGATAAACTTTCTTCTTCAGTGTGCCTAAATGAACGAGCATAAGGTGTATTATTCGATGATAGAGTTGAGGAAGAAAGCGAAGAGGAAATCGAAGATGGAGGTCCAGAAGAATCGTTATCATTAATTGTAAAGTTCTGCCATTTAACTGGACAAACTGATGGATATGAACATGAAATGTTTATCATGTTACCTTCAGGTGAATTACTATTCCTATCGGAACATATTGAGCTGCTATTAGAGTTGCCATTCAATGGAGATCCAACAATAGATGATGCGGTTGATGATGGAGTCGATGAGTTACCATTAGCACAGCTTTGTCCATTTTTAGGACCCATTTTAAAGGCTAACAATTTCTCTGAATGAAGAGTGTTGAGAGTTCGCAAGTCAGAAATTTTGCTAATAAGAAAGTTAAATAATCCTGGGTTATTGGAATGATTTGAAGCAACGAGTTTATCCAGAAGTTTCACCAAGTTACTATTAATCCTGCTTATCAGGTCAATGTTCAGAAGACCAGGTCGATCTGTTTTGAGAAATGAAAATGATGAAGATGAATTAATTTAAATTGTACTTGGTTATTTGTAGTTGAGATTGAATACAAAGTTGAAAAAAGCGAAAGTAACTTTATACAAGAAAAAAAATCACAAGAGATCAAAATGAATGGATTTGTTGTTAGTTAAGGTTGGTAAATGAATTGTAAATGATTGTAAGCATTTAAATTTAAGATGGCAAACTGTAGAGGAGATGATGATTGTGATGATGATGATGATGTTCAAAGAAAATTGGGAAAGAAGAGAAAAGGAGAGAGAAATTAAAATGAAATGAAAATGAAGATAAACAATCCTCAAACTTAATTCACAATTTGAACTAACATGTAAAGGAAGCAGAATGAGGTGAGGGAGAAAGGGAGTGGGAAGAAGGAAGATAGAATGGAGAGAAAGAGAAAAGGAGAGAAAGAAGAAAAAGTAAGTGAGAGTGAGCATCGAAGAGCATATGGAAAGTATCCAAGGTAATAGAGTGAGGTTGAGGGAGTGAAAGAGAGAGAGAGGAAGAGAGGATGAAGGAGAAGTAGAAACTCGAGGTTACTTGAAAGAGGGAGATGAAAGAGACGGAGAAAGAAAGGGCAAGAGAAAGGAAGGAAGGAAAAGAAAGAAGGCCATGGCAATAGGAGAAAGTAAATGAAGATAATTATGAGAGTTATGGACATTGATGATGATGAGAAGACTATTGAACAAGGCTTTATAATCATCATCATCATCATCATCTTCAATCTTTCTTTATCTTTCACTTTTGCCTCGTAAGTTTTCCTCTGTTTCAATCAAACTTGGCCAACATTCAAATCATGTTAACAATTATCAACATTTGATTAACAATTTAGCTATAATAATAAAATTCAATTGTAATATTTAACCAATAAATGGATATTAAATGGTGTTGTTATCAACAATCAAGGTTGCATAAATTTTAGTTTTCTTGTCTTAGGTCTTGAGTTGGATACTCAAATGAAACGGAAAGGGAAATGAAACAAATCAAGTGAGTTCAAGGTATGTTTACTGTCTAAAGGACGGCTAATCGAGAAGCAAGACTAAGGTTAATAATTGAACAGTTTCCCTTAATCGAAATCAATAAGAGATGAAATGGTTAACAAAACTTGAGTGTCGACACTTGGGATTCGAAAACAGATTCTTCAATATATTATTCAGATTTCCATTGATTCAGTGATATGTTTGGATAGACTAATTGAAACCATCGGATAAAACAGGATTTAAAGCAGATGTTGATAGTTCCTTACCTGGCGAGATAATAACAAGCGCACAGAAAAGACCAATTTCATGATCAGTTAAATTGAGAGCATTGAACACCTCAGCAAAACCAAACATTGAATCTAATAAGAAACGAGCGCTTGATTGTGAATGAAGTGACTCTCTTTTAAGGACCATTCCGTTAAGACAGATCATTGAGTTGCTTGTTTTGTCAAACATACAAGCCAAACGAACTAGTAGAACCTCAAAAACACCAGCCTTTAATAGTGTTACTTGATCGTCTTGTGATAAGACAGCAAAACCGGGAATTCGTTTGGCAAATTCAACAACACCACGAATAGCGGGAGAAAAACGTTCGCTGAAATTTTCCAAAATACCTTCACCAGGACCATTTTCAATACCGTTGGGTGGAAGAGGATTCAATGGGCAAGCCTAGGAGAGAAAAGAAAGTTTCTAGTTAAATATTGAACATTTACTTTTCTGAGGGTAATATTATTGCATAGAGATGCTGTTTCACTCATTACATCTGTAAAATGTTTACTTTCTACAGCCATGGCTGTTGCTTAAGCAAGAGAAAGAGGTCAAAACCTTGTCCTATTTTTTTGACCATGGTGAGGTTAAGAGCCTTGCAAGCCTTAAGACTGTTGCAAGGAAAGGAAGAGAAAAAAAACTTTCACATTCAACATTAACAAAAATGTTTGTTGGTTATTCTTCAAGTTTCTTACTACAAAGTGTACAAGTTTTAGCTAAAGTATAACAAAACAAATCTCAAAATCTTGGACATTTTTTAGGCCAAAAGGGACAAAAAGAAAGTTTGGACTTCGCATTTCTTTAACTCTGATAAGAGGAAAGAAACAGGTCAGTTAAATGGGAAAAAAATTTCTTTTTCCTTTTCGAGGTCATTCTTTTCATATAACTTTCAAGTAAACCCGTGGCATTGGCATAAACACGCATAATGGCCATAATAATAATGATGATGAAAGTAATAACACAAAGCAACTGAAAAAATTAGGCCACTAGACAGTGACAGAGACGATAACAAACGGCCAAGAAAAAAAAACGATTATCATATTAGGAAATTGAGTCTCTATTTTGTACATTTTGCTCTCAGTTTTTTTTCCTTTCCTTGGCTTTTATATGATATAAAAAAGAGCACTTTAGATTTGGGAAAGTTGAGGTCAGTCAGAGTGAAACGCATATATACAATATTGGTCTGACCATTTGCTTACCATTAATGTTGAACATCGAGCGTAAATTGGATTAAGTCGAGCTTTCTCAATTAAAGGAGCAACTTTTTCCTTTGTATAATCACAGGTTTCCATATGAGCTTTGATTATGTTGAATAGAAAGTATTTCTCATCATCTAATTGTTCAATTAAGTGTCTGGTATCCGATGGATTGTGAATCGGAGGCTTCGGCATTGTCAGAGGTTTAGCTTTATCACGTTTAGGTACAAATGGATTGGCTTAAGTGTTGTCATCAACAAGAGAATGGATTAAAGATGAAAGAAGCATGGAAGATAAACATAAACGCAATTATAAGATTTGATGAATTAACAAAGAAATTCCAAGTCAAAATGAACATTACCAATTGTCAGAAGATACAATAAAATTCTATTAACGAATTCTATTAAAGAATCTTGAAATTATAAAGTAAAAAAAGGGTTAAACAGGGCAAAAACAAGACTCTAAAGATGTTATATTTTGAGCTAGATATATTTTTGTAATATCTTTTGTAATATCTTTAGGATGGTGAGAGAGAGGAGAGTTATGATGATGGGATGAAGAAAAGATGATGAGAGGCGTCATTACGTAACAGAAGTTTTCAAGGTTATATAAAAAAATCAAAGAGTTAAAATGCGACAACAGAAAAGCAGAGGGAAAATAACAGAAGAAAAAGACAGAGCCGGGTAAAGACAGAGAAAGACACAGATTTGGTAAGCAGGAGAGCGCGAGATTTGATTTTTGTTTAGCCAAATAAATAATGAAAATGGTTTAATTTGTAAATTTATTCACTTCTAAAAATGGATCTAGAATGACCATAAAAAGGTCAAATATTGTTAGCTAACAATTTGATGGACTAACCCAATAATGTCACATTTAATGCGACGTAAGACTTGAACCGATAACATTATACCCACGCAGAGTTACTCATTAGATGAGATGGAAGATAGCGATTAAATAACACAGATAGTATCTCATGCTCATCATCATTGCAACCACTTTAACGAGTAAATGGACCAAATTGTAAAACCTGAAGGAAACATTTTAACAGGCAAAGTCTTTGGGTCATTGAGGTTAACTCTATGTGAATTGAGCAAAACACACATTAATTATTTTGACTGAAAACAGAGAGAGAGGAAGAGATGGAGAGAGTTAGTTTGTGAGAAAGGAAGAGTGAGCCTGAGAGTGAAAGGAGGAGGAAGATAATGATGATGATGAGAATGTGAAAGGCCATGAAGGCGAAAAACGAGAAGAAAAGTGACCTTGATGTTATTCATTACAACGGTCAAAATGTACAAGGATATTGTGCTTTGGAGGTTGTTTGCTGTTAACAAAGAGAGAAAGTAAAAAAGGTCAAAATAAAGTCAAATTTACTAGGTAAGGTTCAAATTTGATGGTTGAAAAGTTTACACCAAGGTCAGTGAGGGCTAAATGAGGTTATATCTGTGGGTAAATCAACAAAATTAAGGTCACAAGGCAACAATCCAAGGTAACGAAAGCAACAAAGTAAACCAAAAAGATAGCAAAGTCAACCATATAAACTACGCTCATAAAGCCTGAAAAAACTAACCGATTTACTTGAAACTAAACTCTGTACTAATCATCAATTAAACCCAAAACAACAATTAATTGTTGATAAAATAAACTGGATAATAGAATCAAATTAAAATTGTTTATAAAACCCAACAATTAATACAATGTAAATCAAGTTAAACCCATTTTTTGGGTTCCAAAATTGGGCTCATTTTGGTTTGTTTAATAATGAAAATGATAATGAAAATAATGGTGATTGAGATCAAGGGAAAGACCATTGATAAACATGGTCAAGAAACACACATGGACAATTGTAATTATAATTGAATGATTACAATTCCTGATGAGATTAACAATGAAAAAACCTTCTTCTCATTGCACTTTAGCTGTATGTTTTGGTTATGTTTAATACACAATCAACACTCATTCATACCAGTTATTAATGAACCTTTTTTGTTCATTATCATATTTATTATTAGCATTATCATTATTGAATGAAACGTCAAAGACCTTATTTTAATTTATTTTTCATTAATATTATAAGCCGCAAATCAGCGTTCAGCTTTACACCTAAAACTTCAGGATCAAGGTTTGTTTAAGGAAACGTTGAGCGAATCAACAAAAAGCAGCAAAAAAAAAACAAGAAGTGATAATAAAACGATTGAAAACTCTGTTGATAGTGAGATGAAAGAGAGTGAGAAGATGAAGAAAGGTCATCATGATAAGAAGAAAGGGAAAGAAAAAGAAAAAAGAAAGACTTTTTTTTATTTCCGCCATTTCCCAATTCAATTTCAAGTTCAACTCAAACTTCATACATTCAAGGTTAACACCACTTTTCAGGTAAGTTACAGGTAAAAAACAGATATTCAAGAATCGATAAAATTGCAAATAGCATTTAATAGACTAACAGCCAGAATCATGAGGAATCTTCAGTGGAACAAAAAGAAACCTTCAGAATTTTTCCAATCTTTCCGTTCAAGCTTCAACTTTTCCTTTCTTCATCACAAGATGAGCTCAATAAACTAGTCTAATCTGGATTAAAATTATCACAGTAAATCCATGAATGATTCATGAATGATTCATAAACATATTCGTAAACAGATTCATGAGCAGACAGGAATTCAGCAAGTTTAAGATAAATTGTTTCCTTACTTTGTAAACACATTTTGAAAGTTAATTTTGAAAACAAATTTGTTCATTTTACTCTGAAAGGGCGCATCATTGGCCATGAACCGCACAATGAACAGTTCAAGGTAGAGATAAATTTAAATGATGAAGGTCAATTGTAATGATGATCAAGATGAAACAGAAGAAGGTGAAAATGAATATTTCCTTTCATTTTTACTTTCTTTTTTTGCCTTCTTCTTTCATCTCTTTCCTCACAATTTCAAGGTAAACTTGTGACAACTCTATCCATGTCATTCAATCATTTCAACGTTAAAACCTTGAGTCAACTCTCGTCACTTCATGAGGCCCATGGTAAGTCCAACGAGAGACTAATTCTGGGAAAATTTGTGATATTCAAGGTATGAAAAGACATCCATATAAATGAACAAAAAATATATACATTTCAACATTGGAATAAACTTGGAAAAGTTTACCATGTAAATGTAGTTAATTTGAAGGTTTTTGTCTTTCCTTTTTGTCGTTTTCAAGCAGCAAGACTAAAAAAAGCAAATTGTGATAAAATAATGTTCATGACAATTGAAAGTCCAAATGAAATTTCAATCGATTATATTGATTGTCTCATGAGAACACACAATAATCATAATTTAAAGCTATAAATATTTCAATCAACAATTACAAATGAAATAAATATCGATGAAACAAAGGAAAAAAAGTTGAACAGCAAAAAAAATGATCCATTAAATGGTTGGTTTATTGATTTTAATAGTCAGAAAAGGGTTGACATTTTGTGTGATTCCCTGTAAAATGAATTAACCATGAGCATGATCAGAATGAAAGAACGAAAAGAAAGAGAAGATTCAATCTATTTATTGTATAGCAATTGAGGTAATTATCCAATTGAACTTGACCTTGCACACAATTTTTCCCTTTCTTTTTCTCTTAGTCTATTCTTTGACTCACTTTTTTCATGATGATTCTGAGAAAGCGCTCATCAGCTAACCTTGACCTTTCTGGTTACAATTTGCACAAACTCAGTCAATACAAGGTAAAATGTAAACCAAGAGACAATCAGAATCTCTTTATATATTTCAAGGGCAACAGTTATCATCTCTTCATCATCATCATCTCTATCCTTTATCAGTGTAAAAGCTTCGATACACAAAATGTCAGATTGACGAGATTGTTGTTACTACTGTTTAAAATAACCCATTGATTGATGTTGGAGGAAAATGAATTTCTTGTTAATGTTCAACTTAACTGATAACTTATTGTTATTACATGCTAATTGCTTACCAATTAATAAATTTGATTAATCAAAATAAACATTATTTGGTTAGCAACAAATCAAACCAATTGAAACAAATGAACAAACAGTGAAATTTTTTTCACTCCTTTGCATAATCAATGAAAAATGATTAACCCGCAAAATAACATCATCAGCTAATCATACATCATCTGAGTGATACAATCAATTATGGTAATTGCTAATTATACAATTGATCTTTAATCAACAATTGAGAAAATTTTCAACTTTTAAAATTAGACTCAAATTACAAAACTTAACCCAAAACTGGCCAATGTTTCAGGTTAATAGAACTCAATTTTTCCGATGAAATGAAACTCAATCATGAGAACCATTAACATGGTTTAAAGTACCATTTAAGGGGGATTAACGTTGAATAAGTTATCAAATGCTATTGATTAACTAAATCACTTTGTGTTCAAATAATGGAACATGAAAATTGAAAGGAATCGCATTTCAAAATCAAACGCTAATCACGGGTTTAATGAGTGCTTTTGTACTAATAGTTAACAACGAAAAATGCCATTTTCCCTCCTTCTTCATCATCATCATCATCATCTTCATTACCATCTTTAGTATCATAATCATCATTATCTTCACATAAAAATTTTCCCCCTTTTTTCTGTTCATCTTTTTTCTCCAAGTCTAACTTCTCATCATGAAAATGCGGAAGTAAAAACCCAGTGAAATCGACCAAACTCCACCTAATCTCTTCTTTTTTTTTCATTTTCATCCCAATCATCAGAATGTTCATTATCATCTTCTTCATCGTCCTTATCATCATGGTTACAAAGGTTTAATTGCAAAATTGATTTTTTGTTGTTTCTTCACAACTTATCTTGATCATCATAACCATTGATGAAGACACAATTATCCTTTACACTTAATCATGATGTTGAAAGATGATAACATGATGATCAATTTAACATGGTAACTGATTTGGCACTGAACTTGACTTTTCCTCGATTCAATTTCGATTTTCTATTTTCTGCTTCTGATTCAATTTTCTTTGTTATTTTTCATAATTACCTTTTCATAAAACAAATCAAAGTGTTGTTTGTTTCCAGAATACAATGAAAATGCTGACGATGAGCAGCTTGAAACTGATGATGAAGATCATCTTGAAACAATATGACAAGGACAATTTCCTCATCGTCGCCAGAATTTCGAGTGTTGGAAAAGTCAATTTTTAAAAGTTTTGCTTTTCGGTTACCTTCAATTGAAAATATCAAATCAGATTCAATGATTATATCACAGAGGAGGATATATTAGATTTCATGGTTAACTCAAATCAACATCTAAACACGAGTTTAACCTAATATTGCTGATCATGTTGTTAATAGCTAATTTATTAACAACTAATTAACCTTGATGAGGCAAAAATAATATGCTAACTTTAAAGCATTATTGGTTTCAATAAGCACAATATCAGTTTACAATCAAATAATAACAAAGGAAACTTATCCAATCATTCATTATTATCAATGATCATCGCAATCATTAAACACATGAAAAAGTATCCTTAGCAACTGCAACAATCAATCGAGTCTTAAATTAGCTGAAAAGGGCAACAATTAACTAATTTGTCAACAACAAATGTATCAATTTTTTACCCTTCATTTAAATGTAAACTTGTTATTAAAAAATTCTGGTTAATTTGGTTGAAATGATTTGAATCAAACCTTCAACCAACCAATCATTAAATGTGTGTTGAATAAATCAGCAAATGTGTGTGTTCAATTGAATCTGTGTGCGTTTCGAAAAAGAAAACAAATGAAAAAGAAAAGTCTGAAAGTTCTGAAAAAAAAGAGACTCAGATTCATGAGTTTGTTTAGTAAAGAAGCAGAAATCATTATCGATTACCTTGAGACAATCTGAAAATTCAAGGCCAATGGCGCAAAATTCATTCCTCTTTCTTCATCATTTATCTTCTCTGTCGCCAATTCTATTTTCTCTTTCTCTCTTTTCTTTCTCTTTACTCATGAAATTTAACTCTTCTCATCTTTATCATCATGATGCTGTTAAAGCTAATTAACATCACATTGCAACTACTCTTTTAGGCCTGATTCTGACCTTGATTGAACATTATGAGAAAAATATGATTACCGGGAAAAAAATATCTAACCATTCGAATACATTTCAGGTTCTGATCCAATTTCATGAGTAGATACCGGAAAAATATTGCTAAAATTGTACGTCAGAATCAACGTCAAACGCCCATGGAATTTTTGTTTTTTAATTCTTTCTCATATTCCATGAATTTACTTGTAATTTCACGACTTTCTATCCCTGTATCTTTATGGTGTTATTGTTCAAAACCAGACAGATAAAACGTTTTGAATAAATGAAACTTCAATGACAATCAGGATGGCTAATTAAAGAGTTAAATTGTTGGTTGATAATTACAAGGAAAATACACAAAAGGGCGAATTTGAATCTTGTTCAAGATTCGTCCAAAGGTTTTTTTTCAATTGGATGCTAATAATGGGAATGATGAAAAAAAAAGGGAGGGAGAATGATGATTAAAGAGTGAATCTATGAGTAAATATGTGGTGATGATGACAGAGTGAGCCTGAGATAAATGTTAAGGGCAAATTAATTCAGATTTTCAAGGCAAAACTGATATTTCAAGGTTATCCGATGCTTCAGTGACCTTGATGATTAAATAAGCTACAATTGCCCATGAAATTTGAGTTATCACTAACAGAAATAGATGATAATGCGATGCAAGAGCTAGATTGGATGACAAGAGTATCATCAGTTTTATTTCATCAGAATTTTATGAAGACAAAAAGTTAAATAAATACACATGTATCTGATAGATCTAAGGATAATGAGTCTCTTTTCATGATTATAACAATTGTAAATAATCAACATCAGATTAACATTAGTTAGACACATTAACGGATCTTTTTCAAACTGTTAATCATTAACCTAAAGATTAGCTAAGAATTGGTTTAAAATAATTTCAAGTGTAAGTGTTTAAGAAAACCAGAGTTGACTAATTGATCATCTAAACCTTTCATTTTTAGGTTTTGGGTTTGCTTTTGTTTGCACCTTAGTCATTTATTTAACCCATTATTTTACTTACAATTTAATTGATTCCTTTTTGCTCAATTATGAGCCAATTTTTAAGTCCACGTTAAGGTTAAAAACAATTGGTTTAAATTAATGGTCATTTTGAGAATAAAAATTGTTTAAATTACCGGTTGCTGGAAACATCTCTTTTCATCCAATGGTAAAGTGTCATAGACAAGGTATTGAGTCACAAAGGGTGATCTTGTTGATTTAGATGATTGTTACTTTATACAAAAATGGTGACCGTTGAGGTTAATGTTGTTGTTGGTTAATCACGCACAAGATGACAAAGGGGTTGATCAAAGGTTGATATGAAGGTTGACAAAAAAGGTTAACAAAAAAAGGTTGACTAAAAAGGTTGAAAATGTTGTTGAATGATCAAAAGTCTGGGAAAGAAACCAGAAAAAGGGAAAACAAAGTTGAAGAAAATGGTAAAAACAGAAGAGACTTTAGATGTTAACAGACGAGAGAAAATGAAAACTCCAAAAATTATTTGATGATATTAGATGATGATGTTGTTGATGGCGGTGATGGTGATGAGTGAGTGAGTTAAAAGTTCAGTCGATCGGGTAACAGATATTTCAAGGTTTCAACACGGAAAACAGATTATCATGTATAATAATTTTTATTCTGTAACTTTGCTGTTCACCGGTAATATGAGTAAGAAAGAGAGTGAGAGAGAGAGAGAGAGAAAAGCAAAAATTTCAGAAAAGAAAGAAAAGAAAGGAGAACATAGTGAGTATGAGAGAGAAAGGGAAAGGGAGACTAGGAAGAGAATGAGAAAGTGGATGATTATAAGGGAAATAAATGTTGAGATGAACTGAAAAATGTATTCAATACTTGATAAAATATGGTAAAATGAGGTGAAAAGAGTTGGATTTAAGATTGAAAATGAGTTTGGGCTTAGAGAGATTAATAGAGTGACAAGGAGAGAGAAGGACAATTATCCTGGAGAGGGGAAAATTTTAAATTACAAAAATATTAACACTAATTGTGTTGTTAGTGAAGATTCAATTAGCTCCAAATTTTTAACAAAGTATTTCTGGTCTCTTCAGGTAAGATGATATTTTTAATGGTGAAATGGGTCCAGTTTTGATGAAGCTAATCTCTTTCTTCACCTTTTCCTCTCTTTTAGTCTTTCGTCTTCACTGAAATCTACGCAGTAAAAATTCGATTGCATTCTCTTCTTTTCATCTTTGTTAGGCTAACATTTGTAAGTCAATAACGAAAGTTGAATCAGAATGATAATATCAATCGATACAAAGATCATGTAGTTATTTATAAAAGTGAGAGATGATAAGAGAGAGCAAGAGACAGAGGATGGAAAAAGGAAGAAAAATTATGTTGATTATTGTGTTGATGAAAATACTTTTACAATATCATTAGTATTGTTAACCAAAAGGATTCAATGGATATTGTAAACACATGCATTAAAAACAAAAAGTCAGACAAGTTACAAGGTAAAGATGAAAGAAGATTGAAAAGATGGTCCAAATTATGATGATATTACAGACCAACACCGAAGATAGGTACGACTCATTGAATCTCCTGAGATATCGTTTTACATGTGATGAAAATTATGATGATGAAATTGTATAAACAAGTTAAAAGAAGAAGAAAAAACAAATTCATTCTTTCCAGTTTTCTGTCTTCTTATCATTCTTTCCCTTTCACTCCCCTCCATGAAACCAGTCAAGGTTAAGGCCAAGAGGGGTATCAAATTGGGTGGTAAAAAAAGGAAAACAGTGAAACAGAAAGATGTTGCAAAATAGACAGAGAAGATAAAGGAAGATATTTCAAGGTAAAGTCTCAAATTCGTGGATTGAGCGCGATTTATCCAGACTTGTGGCGACATCTAACGTTTAGGTTTTAAACAAAATGGAGTTATTTTTACACTTTTGGTTCAATTTACTAACAAACGTGACTCACTTATCTCAAAAAATAACCTTTAATCTGATAATAACTGATTTTAAATCATGGAATCAACTTTTCTTTTTTGATTTTCTTAATTTAAACCAGCTGATAAACTTTTACTTGAAATCGATTCATGGTAATTGACAATCTAATAAGCTAATTTTAGATTTGCAGCACGAGGTTTGATTCTGCAAATTTCAAGTTGTACTGTTTTGATTTGTTTTTTTGATATTGAAATGAAGTTAAGACAATTTAAGGTTTAATTTATCAATTGTTTATTTTTCAACAGACATTTATTCATTATTATTAATAATAATATTCTTTAAGAAAATCAATTGAGAAGGAAGAGAAAGATTGATAGAGATGGTAAAGAGTGAGAAAGAAAAGTTTGCTTGATTTCACAAGGAAATAAATATTATTACCGAAATAATGATGAACATATACATAAGATTATTTAATAAAAAACCCTTTCAGAGGTAGCATATGAGAGAGAGAAAGAGGGAAAAGTGAACAAGATGAAAAGTTGAAAGGTTAAGGGATAAGAGTAAAGATCTTTACAGCAAATTAATTTGTTTCATTGGGTTTTTTTGATTTCAATTTGATTAGGTAAAGATCTTTTACAAGTTAATTTTTTTTCTTTCTTTTTGTGGTGGTTCCAGGGTTTTTATTTGTGTATGTTATGCATGTGATGTATGTGTGTTTGTATGTGATGTGTGCATGATGAGTGAGCATAGTGTGTTGATTTGTGATCATTTTTTCAGTAAATATCTTTGTATCATGACAATAATGATGATGATGATGAACACGATGATAAGAAATGTTGACAATTTCTTCTCTCAATCAACCATCCATTCAAATCATGATATTGACCATTTTTACATTTGTATTAATTACAAATAAAGAAGATCCCGTTTACGACTTAAATCCAATGGAGGTGGCATCGATGTGAAATTATTATGGGGTGGCGATGAAGAGGATGATGATGATGACGATGACAGGGATGAAGACAACGACGATGTTGATGAGCTTAAATTGTGATGTCTACCGTGTTGCTGTAAATAATGATGACTTAAATCACCAACATATCGAGGTGCTTGCTCCAAGACTTTAACCAATGTTGAATGTGTTGATGCCAATGAATCGCAATTACTTGTTGGTGAAGTAAGACAAGATGAAGAAGCTGACGATAAAGATGATGATGTTGATGTCGGTGATACTAGACTATTACATAAACTATTACTAGAACTATTAACATTACCATTATTATTATTGTTATTATTGTTAATATTATTACTATTTAAAGGTGATGGAGCAAGGGAATTAATACAGATTGATGTACTGCTTGAAGGTGGTTCACAATCTCGAGATGCTTTTGTCGCTCTAAACTTTTTATGGTGTCGATATGCTTCATCCATAAGCATATTTGTATTAATTAATGGTGGAGCCTGCAATGCACGTTTTAACATTGGCATATCATCAATTGATTCTTGTTTTTCTGAAACAGACTCAGAATCTGATACAATATCTTTAACCTTGTCATCGCAAGCAGATCGGGGACTAGAACAGACGGATGTCGTTGGTGTACTTCCATTACATTGTTCTTTACCACTTTCAATACCAGAATCAGTTGGTGAATCGACTCGACGAATCTTTGAATATAATTCATTATTATTGTTGTTGTTGTTATTTCCATTATTACCATTTGAATAGTCCTTTGATTTTGAAATAAAATAATTGTCCTGTAAATGATAATTGTGGTGCGAATGATGGGAATCATCATAACGATTATGTGGACATTCATGGTTCTTATTATTATTGTCTCTAGTTGTTGAACTGTTCGCTGTTTGCAGTAATCTTTGACTTAGAATAAAATTGTTTTGTTGGTTTTGATGATGGTGATGATGTTGATGGTGATAATCAGTATTTAATTTATTTAATCCATCGGCACTTGACATTGATTTGGCATTTATCAAATTATCATTGGTAGATGAAACACTGTGATTTCCTTGTGAAGATGATAAACGTTCATTGTCAGATAACCCTGATGAACGAGAAGATGTGGATGAAGACGAGGATGATGGCAAAGGTCCAGTACAATCGTTATCGTTGATTGTAAAGTTTTGCCATTTAACAGGTAATAGAGATACATATGAACAAGTATTATTAATCATATTACTCTCTGGTGAATTACTAGTCCTGTCCGAACAGATTGAACTATTGGAGTTACCATTTAACGGTGAGCCAGCAATAGATGAAGTGGAGGATGCTGAAGATGATGAGGTACCATTAGCACAATTTTGTCCACCCTTTGGACCCATTTTGTAGGCTAACAATTTCTCTGAATGAAGTGTGTTGAGGGTTCGCAGGTCAGGAATTTTATTGACCAGTGAACTAAATAATCCGGGGTTATCGGAATGGTTGGAAGTAACAAGTTTATCAAGGAGATCAACCAATTTACGATTAATTTTTCCAATTAAATCAATGTTACGTAGGCCAGGTCGATCTGTTGTCAACAAAAAATGATAAAAGAATAGACATTAGAAATTAGTTGACTTTGACTCAAAATGCAAAATATTGATAAGAAAAAAAGATTAATCTAAAAATAACTTCTATTGTATGAAATAATTCTTACCTGGTGAGATAATGACAAGCGCACAGAAAAGAGCAATTTCATGATCAGTTAAATTAAGAGCGTTAAGCATCTCAGCAAAACCAAACATTGAATCTAATAAGAAACGAGCACTTGATTGTGAATGAAGTGACTCTCTTTTAAGGACCATTCCGTTAAGACAGATCATTGAGTTGCTTGTTTTGTCAAACATACAAGCCAAACGAACTAGTAGAACCTCAAAAACACCAGCTTTTAATAGTGTTACTTGATCATCTTGTGATAAGACAGCAAAACCGGGAATTCGTTTGGCAAATTCAACAACACCACGAATAGCGGGAGAAAAACGTTCACTAAAGTTTTCCAAAATACCTTCACCAGGACCATTTTCAATACCGTTGGGTGGAAGAGGATTCAATGGACAAGCCATTGTTGAGGGACACCGAGCGTAAACTGGATTAGCTCGAGCCTTTTCAATTAAAGGAGCAACTTTCTCCTTAGTATAATCACATGTTTCCTCATGGGCTTGCAAAATATTAACGAGAAGACGATTCTCATCTTCCAATTGTTCAGTTAACTGTTTCTCCTGACAATTGGCATTTACCTTCTGCATTGCGGCAAGTATTTTGGCTTTCTCACGTTTGGGTACACGTCCAAAACGAACAGCGTCACGAGACATTCCGACGGCAATGCACTTCTTCAAACGGCAATATTGACATCTATTACGATTTATTCTGAGGATGGAACATTGTTGATTTTTAGTACAGGGTCGATATTGAATTTTTTGTTGAATAGATCGACGAAAGAAACCCTTGCAACCCTCACAACTGTGAACCCCATAGTGAAACCCTGAGGCTCGATCACCGCACACTCGGCATAAAACTGTAGTTCCATCAAATTCAATCTTAAGTTCACTGTCTTTAAAACTTGAGTCAGCTTCCGAAGTTATATTTGACATGGATGACAATAATTGTAGATCTTTTTCACTCAAAATCATCATAATGTTATAAAAACACACATAGATAGAGATATATATTTATATATTGGTTATATGTATATAAACAGTCTAAAAACTCTTGTGAATTGAATCGCTGTTGATTCCTTTATGGCAGGAGAAAGTTGATCAACAGAGAGCTAAAAGAAGGAGAAGAGAGCCAGAAAGATGAGAGGAGAGTTAAAGCAAAAGAAGCATAGAAGTTAGAAGAGAGAGACATAGAGAGAGAGGTCTAAAAGAGTACTGAAGAGAGAGAGAGAGAAAGACAGTGAAGAGAAAAAAAGAAAGAGGGAAAAAGAAAGAGAATCAACTGTGTATTCTGTTCCCCTTTAACATTCCCTCTTCACTCTTTCATAGACATATACTAGGCAAGGAGGAGTCTTAAAAGAAAGAGAAGATAAGAGAGAAAAAGAAAGAGGAAAAGCCTTAAATCTCCGCCTATGAATAGCTCATAGAGCTTGATGATGAAGATGATGATCCTCTCTTTCGCTCTCTCTTTCTCTCAAATCTCTCCCCTCTCTGGTGTATTGACCCAGCTCTTGAAATAATGTAACCTGTGATGCTCAAGCGAATCACTTTTTTATATAATATTTTTATCTGTTTGGATTCTGGTAGCACCAAGAAGCTTGCCTAAGCATCAACGTCACACACCATGAAGAGAGTAAGAGAGACAGAGAAATAGAGAGACAATGAGAGAGAGAGAGTAAAAAAAAAGAGTTTAATTCTGGTTATTTTAAGAAGAGCATAAGTCAAGACATTCACTTTTCCAGAAGATGATATGAAAGGGGTTGAAGGAGGAGAGTATTTTAAGGTGGACTGACAACATTTTACAGAACCATTCCAAGGTCGATGAAATTAAGTCTCTTCACAATCAAATTAAGGGAAACAAGAGAGTTCAAGGTTATGTGAGATCATTGATCGCAAGGATGATGATGATGATGATGATGGGAGTGGGAAATCAGGAGTAAAGGAAGGGAAAACAAAGTGGGGCTGAAACAGGGGATAGAGAGGGAGGATGATAATGATAACAATGTGAAAGTGAAAGTTTAAGTTAATCAAAGTGAATTTCAAGTCTCATGTAATAAAATTGATAAATTTCAACGTAAATTGACATTCACAACTCTTTACAGCGACAAAAAAACGCCAAGGTAAACTCGGTGTTTTTACCTTCCATTGCCAGTGTTGCCTCGCAGTTTTACACTTGCTAAATCGTTGAGCAACAATCAAGGTAAAATTGCAACAATTCATTGAGCTTGATTAAGGATATTTCCAGAATGTAATATTGTTTCAAATGGTGAAACAATTTGATTAACAGATTTGTCAATTTTTTTGCAAAATGATTTTACTCTTGCAGTTGATTTTGGAAACCATTTTCAATTGCAAAAAATACAAAAGTAAAAAATTGAAGACAATTTTTAACCCAATTAATTGCACTCTCAAGTACAAGATATGATTGTGCTTAATCTAGTGTTAACCCAAAACAACAATTGAATTAATCTAAAGATTAGCTTTAAAGATAACGTTTTTTTAGACAAAAAACTTGACCAGACAAGTTGTTGATGTTTTGATATCATTTGCATTTGATTAAATGATTTTCTGGTTAAAAGTAAACTCTGGTTTTAATTGGGTTGATTAGCTGTGAATGAGGTTTGAATAAAGATGACAATGAATAGGGAACCTTGAAAATGATGGATGAAGAAGAAGAAAAATCTTCTCATAGAATCTCATAGAAGGTCAAAGTGAAACCTCTCTCCTAGTGACCCAGGAATGAGTCCTTGGGAACGCACTTGAGACTTGCCTCTGAGAAACTCTTACATGGTCATGTCGGGAAGATGAAGAATCGACATTAGAAAGCAACTCTGATTAGTACGAAGATGGAGAGGAAAAGGTAAAAGAAAAGACGAAATAAAATTGACTAAAGACTTGCTTCTTAAGCCTCTTTACTTGCACTTTTTCACCCCCACTCATCATCTCTTATCATCATCTTTCTCCTTCTTTTACCACTTCTTTATCATTCAAGGCCATGGCCAATGGCCTCCGTTAAATACGTTAGGCCCTTATGTCGTCCTTAAGTTAATATCAACTAACGGAGTTTTTTTTCTTCTTCTTCTTGTTCACTTCAAGAAACGGAAGCCAATCTCTCACCCAACTCTCTCTCTATTATACTTTCATCTTTGCCACCTTTTCTTATCCTTCTTCTCATCCCTTAACAAGGATTCAATCTTTTTCGTCCAAAAAAAGTGATCTTAAAATCGATAAAAAAAAGCCTCAAAATTTTTATTTCTCCCTTAACCTTGCATGATTTAGACACATAAGGAGTAAAAAAAGATGAGAGAGAAACTTAGATCGACAAGTTACTTTCATCTTCTTCCTCTTTCACTTTCGTCCTTTCACTCTTTTATCATCATTTCCTCTCTCATCTCTTTCTCCTTTTCTTATTTAACATTTTCCCTTCAATAAAAACGCCAAAATGAAAGTGCGAAAAGGCCAAAATGTCAACCATCTTCCAATGGGTAAACAGGCTCTATGGTAAATCAAAGGTTAACCTGAAGAAAGCAACAAAAATTTGCATTTATGGGACTTTTACGGCTCACTCTTGATTCACCGTTTTTTTTTGTATTATTATAACCACTTTCATGATCACCATCCAAACACACACTCAACCCATGTAAACACATAAAATCACCTCGTAAAGGCCTTTAAGCGACGAACTCGCGTTTTCCCTCTTTACTCTTCCAATCCCAATTTCCGTACAAGATTAAGAAAGGTATCTCAAGGTTAGTGGTTAAACCTGGAAACCTTGATTCTTAACCTTTTTTTTCACGTTAACAGTGACAGTTTTTGCCTCATAAATTAGTTTAAATAAATTATTATCATCATCATATTATATTATTATTATGGCCTACTATTGAAAACTGGTGAATGAACGAGAGTAAAAAGAGTGTAAGAAGATACAATCATTTGAATGGCAGTGAAAACGTTATTAGTAACTCTTTCACTGTGCTATATAACCTTTAACCTTGTAACCTTGGTGTTACCTTTAACCTTTTTTTTCAAGAAAAGGCCTTTTATTTATTGCCAAAAACCTTTACTTTCTCTTTTCAAATATAATAATATTAAACATTTTCCATGAAAAATGTTATTCCATTCATTTTTTCCTAACTTCATTCAATTCATTTAGCATCCATTATTTTCCTAAAGGATCAAAAACGTTTAAATTTATAGCCCATCAAGATAACTTTAAACTCTTCCTGCGCTTTATCCACTCTTGGTCAACTTATGTTGTCCATTGGACATTCAACATGTTTACTTATAAGAGGTTACAAGGGAAAGGGAAGTGTTCATCACACTATCTTAGAGGTCATTAATCAGTTAACCTTATGGCTACAATAATCACTTCACTAATAGCGTCTTAAAGATGAGACAAAACCTTTACCTTTAAATAACAGTTTTGCGAACCACAAAAGACCAACAAATTGAACATAAACAAATAAATACATAAATAATAACGCTAATAAGAGGTTAAGTAGTCAAGGTTCACTTTGAACGTACAGATGAATGTTGACCTTTTCCCAATGAAAGGGTTAAATCAGTGTAAAGCAAAAACTAGAAAAATGACTTTTTCGTCTCTTGCTTAAGGTTATTCAACTGGACTTGACAAAAACACGTTTTGTTTGTTTTGCAATTCTTTGGTCTGGTCTATTTGAATAGTATAATTGGTCGATTGGTGATTGAGAATGGTCAAGGTGGAGGTGGCTGATTCTGCCAAGATAACCAAAAAAAAGGAAAAGTAAGATGTTAAGGTTCTTATGTAAACGCGATTAACCCTGAAAATCGGATAAAGGTAACAGATTTGAAAAGAAACTGCTTTTGCAGGTAAAAAAAAAGATAAACTGTCTTAGAAAGTTATATCTTGATAAGGTTTGATTTGTAACTTGACTGAGTATTTGTTTGCTTGAGAAAGAAGAGAAATGTTTAATCTTATAATACTTTTACAGTCTGTGGTGACCAGTTTATTGACCAAGGCAAGGATTTTGAACCTTTTTCAAAATTGTATTACCATTTTGAATTGCCATTGGGAAGGCTTATTGAGATTGATTGAAATATAACAATTGGAAAACTGTAAAACTGGAAAATTGTATCTTTTTTTCATTTGATTATGTATTTAAGTCTACCAGTGATTAACAAATTGTGTATCACAGAGTTTAAGGTTGACAGAGCATTGAAATTGAAATCAACATTGAACTTGATCTGTTTGAACTCGGGTTAAACTGAATGTTGATAATTTTTGTGTTAATGTTAACAACACTTTTAGATTGATTGGAAAGCAATTTTTTGTACTCAATATGTTAACATGTTTTAAAATGTCAACAAACAGAATCCAAATCTTGCAAGATCAAAGAACGAGTAAGAAGAAAAAGAAAGAGAAGATAATTTTGATGATGAAAAAGAAAGGTAAAGAGACTAGAAATGGTTAGATGATGGTGAAAATGATGATAATGATGAAAATAACAAAAAACTTAAAGAATAGTGTTAGAAGGTTATTGACCAATGTTAATGTTATGGATCAATATATTGATATGAAGCTCACTTTTCTCATCCATGGAAGAGAGAGAGAGAAAGACTGAGTAAAATGATGATAATGATGATGATATGGATGATATAAAACGTAGGATCATTCACCTAAACTCAGGGAAGCAGAAATGTTGTGTTCAAGAAACTTTTATATGTCAAATGATTTCCCCTTTTAACTGATTTACTAATTTTTTTTGTTGCTCACTTTTTGCTCTTCTCTTTATCTTCCTTCAGTCTCTTTCACCTTTTTTGTTGTTGCTGTTGCCAGTATCATGAGTCTGTGTGAGTAAGTGAGTGTGATTATCTGATAGTATATTTTAAAGCTTCTGACTGTTGTTGTTGTTTGTGTGTTCAACTTTGTAGGACAATGCTCTGAACTGATGGATTGATGGATGATGACTTTTGAAGGTTTCAACGTTTCTCCTTTTTTTTCATGCTTTTACTTCAACTTGACCTGACAACAGAAGAGCCTTTTCATGCTTATCATCATCAAGGTCTATGATCTTAAATTATCTGGTCATGTTTCACTGTTTACCTCGTTACAGTTTATCACCAGGACAACAGAGAGACAAATCATGTTAATCATAACAATCAGTGAATGAAATACAAAACAGTGTTTTACAAGCACACTTGGACACTTTCCTAGCCAATGTCAATACATTTAGTCAATGAAAGTGAAATTGATTTTATAATTAAGATTAATCTTTTTTCTGGTTTTCTGACTCAAGTCTGGTAACAATTT